ACTGGCTTAAGCCTCTGATTTCTGAAAAACGAAATGATAGACTTTGTAGGTCAGGAGGCTTAGAGCGGCTTTTTCTCTGTACCCTCATCATCCTGCTCCTCTAAAACAGCCCCTCTGGGACCACGGGAAAATGGGGCCTGTTCACTGCTGCCCTTGGAGTCCTACGGAAAAAAAAAAACTATCTCCTTGGTGGTGGTAAAATATCTGAGAGATAACATTGCTGTCCTTTAAATAAAGAAAGCAGTTATTCGTCCTGTGTAAATCTAAAGGCTCTGTTGGTGGTCTGGTATGTGGAACTGGGCACTCCTGAATTCATATCCTCCCCTGGTGCGCAGAAGCCTGGAGGGTTGCAGGGCAGGCGGTTAAAGGCTGACTCCACCTCTGCTGTCAGCTGGGAACCTTGGGCAAGTCACCCAAACTCTGTAGCTGTGTTTCCTGCTCGGTAAAGGATGGGTGACAATACATGCCCTTCAGTAGGCAAACTAATGGATGGAGGCCCGCTCAGCTCCTGGTTAAGGGTTTGGGAAACTTCACCTAATTGTCAGTCTTTACACCATCCTATGAGGTTAGTAGTGTCATTTTCACCCCACATTACAGAGGAGGTTACTGAGACTCAACTATATCCCAAACTTCAGCTCCTCGAGTGGCAAAGCTGGGACTCAGAACCCAGGTCTTCTGATTTCTGTTCCTATCATCTGTCCATCTGCCTCGCTCCAGCTTGATGGGGACGTAGCACTAAGCAGAGAAGAAATGGCAGCCTGCTCCAGCATTCTTGGCCTGGGAAATCCCATGGACAGAGGAGCCTGGCAGGCTACAGTCCATGGGGTCACAAAGAGTCAGACATGACTGAGCAACTAAGCATAGCACAGTAGTAAGCAGAATGTTTAAAGATAAGTAAATAATGAGTGTTGGAGGGCTTTGCAAATGGAAAGCACCACAGCCATATAAATTTTATTTTGTGTCCCAGGATCCTCAGTATCAGTTTTCCTGAGTCTTGTTCAAAAAGTTCGGTTGTTATTTTGTTGCTTTGTTGAGTTTAGGAGAAGGAAAAATTATGAGAGGACTTCAGACTATGGTAGAGGTGCATAATATTCTTGGCATTGAGTTTATTTTTAATTCAGGTGCCTGTCAAGTAGCTTTCGTATTTTTCTCAAAAAGTCTCATGGGAGTCTTACTTTTATGTGTTCTTTGTAGAAGGATTAAGAAATAGAGACAAAGCCCCCCAAAGGGAAGCAGGTAAACATTCATAAACCACCACATGGTAATAACCACATTCACATGGTTGTATCCTCACATCTGTATCACAAATGATGGATCTTATGGGTCATTCTGCTCAGTAGTCAAAAATGACTATGCGGTATTGCACAAATATGAGATTATTTTTTAAGTAATAATGAAGGACTTTGACCTTGACAATGATAAAGAGAAGGGAGCAGAACATTCCCCCCATACCACACCCGTAATTTCAGTCACCTGGAATGGCTTCCTGAGACCACAGCTTCACACTTGTGCATGCTGACAAAGATAGTAAGACAAGGAACATCTTGGGAACCATCACTGAGCCGTGATTTTAGGATAGGCATTTGCTAGAGGAGCAAAAGTCAGTAAGTCCATAAAACTGCCCTGTCCAAAGGGGTTTCTGTTTCTGGTAGCTTGTTCCAGAGTGCCTTGGCTGGATACTGATGTAAGACCATGTGAGTGCTGTACAGTTTATGACACAGGTTCACCCAAGAAGGAGCTCAAGTCTGCCAGTGCAGCCAAGCGAGTGATTAGGTCATGGTCTCACCAAGCTCTAGCCATTCTTGCCTTCTTTCTCTCCCTGCGGCAAGGCAAACCTGAGGACTTCGTGGTTGCTGGTTCTTCTGGTCAGAATGCTGTTCCCCCAGCTCTTCCACGTCAGCATCAGCATTTCTTCCTTCTAGGTCTTCCCTGGCAACTCCATCTGAATTGGCCTTTCACCTGCTCTCCACCACCCAGTAACTCACATGGGCATCACCACCTTGATTTCCTCCTTGGTACTTGGCATGCCAGGAATCTACCACATTGGTTTGCTTGGGCACTGCCTGTCTGCTTCACTGGCCAGCGAGCCTCTTGGAATTGTCTTAGCCACCACACGCCCCAGTGTGTAGCACATAGCACTGAACCCCTCAAGTGTTTACTGGTTGAACGATTTATGGTACAACTATCAAAGCAAGTGTGTATCAACTAAACTTTTTAAGAAGTTACTGAATAGTTTTTCAAAAACGTTCATATTTGTTTGTGTAAGATGAAGTATTAAGTAAAATATGGTCTCATGATATGGAAAAATAATTTGACAGTACTCAAAAGTAGGACATAGCATAGCCGGTTGGGGAAATTTTAGAATTCACAGCCCTTCACCTCTAGTTGCTAAATCTGCCTGTGATAATAGTCTTGGTTGAAACTGGTTGTCAAGTTAGCAAAATAGTCATATTTATCACTAGACCAAAGAGGTGGACGAGCAAAAAGTTTTCTAACTCTACAGATATGACAAATATACCCCTTTATTAAAATGTAGGTGTTAAATATACATCTTAAAAATTCTGAAAAGATGATGTTACGGAATTCCTATCTTGTAGGATATGGCATCATTTCTGAAACCCACTGTGATAAATTAATTGATTCATTATGAGCTTGGTCTAGAAGAGTTTTAAGATTTTAGCAGCATGAATCTTGCATTTGCTTTTTATTTTTGTGTGCGCTCCCCTCAGGTCATCGCCTCATTGGTTATGGTTACAGGCAGCTTATTGGCCGGGGCCGGGCTCGGGGGGGGGGGGGGGGGGGGGGGGGGAGGTGGGCGCGGAGTGGAATGTCTGTGGTCCTGCTTTGATGGTGTTTGTTTTTACCTCATGGTTTTAACTCGCCTGACATTTTAAGCTTCAGTAAAGGTAAAGCAAGTACTACAAGTTTGTAAACAGAATGAGAAGTCAGGTACTATGCCAGTGTTTAAGGAGGCAGGTGGAAATATAAATGATTGGTGTGGGGCATCGATGTCTTATATCCAGAGAAAAGGAAGGGACTGAGCTTGCTTTTTTTCCGAAAAGGCTGTTTGGAGCTCCTTGGTATGCAACTCTGTGGCTTTTCAGAAGTGACCTCTGGACTAATAATTGGCTTTTTTTTTTTTTTTTGGGGGGGGGGGGGCCTCAAACAGCTTTTCTATCTCTGGAGAACGTGGATTGAGTGTAATTCAGTTCACTAGCTAATTGGTTGAAATAATGCATAGTGATTCCTGCCAGAAGGAGCCAGACCCTGCCTGCAGGCAGCTTTAGTGGAGCATCCTGAGAAGGCCTGTGGTGTTATGTAAATTCTTCCTCTACTGCAAGTTGTTTGCTAGGTTTTCCTGCTGTCTTTAACTTTGCATTGATTGCTAGAGCCTCAATAATTCCCTGGGTATTTATCAAAGTTTTCTGCAGCATCTATTTAGGTGTTTAGTCTTTATAGCCAACTGATCATTTCTCTGTCTCTTCCCCTCCCTCTCTTCTCCCAACCACCCCTTCCCACTTAACCTCCCCTCCCCCTTCCTCTTTTCTCTCGAACACACACAGTATGTTCAACCTTACCTCACAGAGTTCTGCAGTGCCCTTGGCCATCTGCGTGAACCTGCACAGATGACCCTGCCAGTCTGCAAATCTGGACTAGTTTTCCTAATGAGGGCATTATTTGCTTTTTGTCCTGCTCTCTTGTTTATAAAATATGCCAAGAGAACTAAACAACCCGCTGTTCCCAGCACTTATTTACTCGCTCAAGCCAAATGTTTATGTCCTTGACTACTAAACTTGAAGAAAAGGGATTTCTCCTCGTGGGAAAGCTGAGGTGATCCCTGCGGGTTCTTTCTGAAAGATAGCTGAAGGCCTGCTTTTCAGAAACATTCAGCTTACAGTGCCCGTAGCAACTGGCGTGTGTGGGTGCTCCAGGATTCTCTTACGTTTGCTGCCCCTGCGGGCCTTCCGTCAAAGCCCTTACTTACCCATGTTGAATCGAAGCAGCCTCTTCAGAGCTTCTTCTCACAGCGCCCATCCATGCCCATGGCCCATCTGCGCACACAGCCCCGTCGGGAAGTGAAACGCCCTTCCTGCCATATGTTGCAGCATCCTGAGCTTGGCATGTTCTAAAACCCTAACTGAAGTATAATCGAGGACCTGAGGAAGAAGACGAGCAGTTCTTAGTAACAGCATTACTTGTGCTTTGATGTGCTGGCTTTTCTCATGCCCAGCCTGGCTGCCTGCTGGAGATTCTGGGGCGGGGGTTCAGACTTACTAGGGAAGCTTCCAGAACACAGGCAGCCCACCCCCAGGTGACTCAGAACCTGACAATGCTTTCTGGATGCTGAACACGTGAGTCTGAGAGAGCAGGTTCCAGGGCCTCCCAAGACAGCCACGGCGGATCCATGTGGTTCCTCTCAAGTGGGATTTCCCCTTGTGCATCTGACATGAATCACATTATTTATTTTCTCCTGGCAAGTTTTGTGCTAAATACACATTTGCCACCTTTCCTTATTTCTTTTTCCAACAAGGAGAAACATTTCCTTGTTACCTTTGCCAGATTATTTAGGAGAAGAGTGTAAATTGAAGCCATTTATCTTGAAATGCACTGCAGGGCCACATTGTTTATACAAGTGAAAGAAATTGTAACAGGGGTATTTGGTCTGGTCTGCAAGGGGAAGGTGTCTCAACTTTTCCTTCCCCTCCCCCTTATACATATGGTGCATTAGTTAGAAGGTGCACAGAGCACGCATGCATTAGGTTTGCGTATGTGACAGGCAGGACCATTGTTAATAGGTTTAGTGAGTATTTTTTATATGTTTGTTATTGGTAGAGTTAACATTGCCAATCATAATAAAGCGAGTGTTACTCCTCTAACATCAGCCATACATTTTCATGATCAGAGCTCATTTATTACGTACCCTGCTCCTTTTAGTTAGATAATGGAATGGGAATTTGGGGATTTTGCTGTTCTAATTGAAACCTCTACGTGTTTACCAGTTGGTGGACGAGTAAGTCGTGAATTAAATTATACTCGCCAGAAGATTGGAGAAGAGGCTATGTTTAATCCTCAACTCATGATTCAGACCCCCAAGGAAGAAGGTGCTAACGTCCTGACCACAGAAGCGCTCCGACAGCACCTGGACTCTGCGCTCCAGGCCAGCCGGGTCCATGTATATATGTATAACAGGTAAGGTGGTGGGGAGAGTGTGCTGGCTTTGGAATCCTTTGTTTTAGTCAATAAAAGTTGCTCTGGAAATACACCTGGAGTGTTAGTTAGTTCAGGTAGTTTTCCAGTGCAACGATTTTTAAAGTCTTGATTTGTCTCTAGAGTTTAGTAGCATATGAATTACATTACTTTACAATGTATTTTCAGTAAGTATCTTGGCACTCTACCCAAATAAGTATGGTCCTTCAAACAACCATTTGGGTGGCTGCCTACCCATTCCAAAGATGTTTCACTATTTTAGACATTTCTGGACCAGTTACATTTTTGTCAATTCACAAAGAATAAGAAAGAAGTTACTTCTCATTACTTTGTATACAGTACAGATGCTAACAGTTGATGTGTGTTACCAAAAGCAACAACAAAAAAATAGTTTAAACTACTGTGATGAATTCCTGGGGACAAGTAGGCAGAATAAGGTGGATTAACACACCTTTGCAAAATACTACCCTTCAACTTCATGGTGGATTTAGCAATGCTGTGGATGTAGTAAAAGCATTGGAAGAGTTCTGGAATGAAACCACTAGTCTTTTTTCTTACCTATCTAAACAGAGTGTAGGGACTACATCCTATCCATTCTTGTACCCCAGCACCTAGATCAGAGTGTAGGGACCACATCTTATCCATTCTTGTACCTCAGCACTTAGATCAGAGCAGGCACTTGGAGTTGCTTGACTGACTGACTGCTTGGATTGCTGAATTTAAACTGAATCTTCTCCTAGAACTAAAAATACCACTGGGTTGGCATTTACCTAACTTTATCCTCCCCCCACCCTACCCCCATCATCAAACACCTCTAAAGTGAGTGCTGGCAAGTACTGTATTTCATAGGAGAGAAGAAGAGGGCAGCAAGGTAGACTTATTCATTGTCCAGAGAGAATGAAGGGGGGAAAGTAAAACCAAAATCTATACTTGTCCCTCCTCCTGTAACCTCCAACCTGAGAGCCCATCTTCGCTCTTCCCAGCACAGCCGTCTCAGTCTGTAAGGAGTGCTGTCGGGGAAGCAATCACCCAGTGCAGTTTTGCAGAAAGTGCGAGTGGAGGCCCATAAAGAACCTGGAAATGGGTGTCCCAGGGCTGCTGTAATCATGCATTCCTAACAAAATGGGACCCTGCCTTAAGAGGGCTTGTCCCTTACACTCTTAAGGAAGGAGAAGGTGGGAGCATCTGAACAATGAAATTACCATCTTACACAACAATGGAACCAGAGAACTTTTATGTGTTGACCTGAACTTTAAAGACTACCTTGTTCAACCCATTTCATTTTTTTTTTTTTTTTGGTGAAAAAACTAGAATTTGATTAATTAAAGCATTTGTCCGAGTTCAAATAGTTATCAAATAGTAGTGCTGGGTTTCAGACCCTTTCTTCTGACTCTAAGCCCAGTGGATTTTCTGAAACATTAGCCATACCCTTCTCAAGCAAGTGTAAGAGTTAGTTGATAAGTGATGTTGAGAACCTACTAGTGCTCGATTTTATGTGTTGTGCTATATGGAATTAAAATGTAAGTATATGTATAGATGGATGAGTGGTGGGTGGATGGATGGTTGGGTGAGTTGGGCCCTCTCAGGAGCGGACAGCCTGTAGTTAGAGGAAAGACAATGCAGAGAAGCAGGTGTGACGCGAACATAGGCAGTCCCGCCTATATGTGCTCATGCCAACAAGGAGAGCACTGTTCTGGGGTTCAAGAGAAAGGGGTCACTTTCAATGGGACTGATCAAAGAAAGCTTAGCAGAAAGGTGGCATTTCAGCGGGCCACTGAGATACGTGACACTGGAATATATGGGAAGTTTCCATAAGGAAGAGGGCAGAGTCCAGAATGTCCTTTTGGGTAACTGATACAAGAGAGAAAAAGGAGCCCAGTGAAACAGAGCAGTCTGGATGGAGTTTTATATCTGTTTTTCTTACTTGGAGTTCTCATCCCTATTCTTTCCTAGTTTTCTCTTCTTTCAAATTGGACTTATTTCCCTAATACACTTGGGTAGAAGGTTTGGGTTTATTTAGCACTCTTTTAGGGATAACAAAACTCTATAATAGTAGACAGATGATAGTTAATAGAGGTAATTGTTGATCAGGGTATTTAATATAATTTCTATAGGACAAGAATAGAAGAATGTAAAGTGGGAAACCAATCTACCTGGAAATATTGTTTACATTTGTGGTTAAGAGCAGAAACATTCATTTTGAACACTGTTAATAAGGACATTACCTACCAATAAGAAAGTAATATTTTCTCCACTTCAGTATATGTTATTACATTATCAGTTCAGTTCAGTCGCTCAGTTGTGTCCGACTCTGCAACCCCATGGACTGCAGCACGACAGGCTTCCCTGTCCGTCATCTACTCCCAGAGCTTGCTCAGCCAGTCGGTGAACCTCACTAATTTAGTCCCCACCTATTTTGAATTTCTGATAATTCAACTCTGAATTATCTGCCCGAAAGTTGTTTGATGTATGTGGAAAAGCAGGTTAATGGTGTAAACAAGATTATTGGGAGAACACTTAAGAAAACAAGACTTTTCAAGTACTTTGGTAGCATTCATTTACATAAACATCCCACATGTTAATTACAGTTGTGTATTATCTATTCATTAAAGTAAGCTTGTTGAATCTGTTTGGCAAAGCTCTGCTCATTTTGACAAATACTGAAAAGTGATCAAAATTGGAGTTCTTTCTGTACGTTCTGTAGTTCTGATTTTGCACAGATTTCCTTTATTACAAGAAATATTTGTCTCTTTTATTTTATAGGCAGTGGAAATTGGAACATTTGTGTTATAAATCTGGAGAACTTATCACAGAAACAGGTTACATGGATCAGGTATATATTTTCTTTTTGTTTGCAAAAAATTCTCAAAGTAGCCCAGTAGTATACATTAGCATAATGCATGGCCTGTTCTTTTCAACTTTGACAGATAATAGAGTATCTTTACCCTTGTTTAATTATTACACCTTTGGACTGCTTCTGGGAAGGGGCGAAGTTACAGTCTGGGACAGCATACCTACTGTAAGTGTGTGATCTTATTTTCTGATCTCTGTGATTTCTAAACTCTAGAATCTTTCTGATGTTACTTTATTATTGTTTATTCCATTTTAGTTTTGAATAAAAAATAAAAACATTGAAATTCCATGTGCATATTTTAAGTGAATAGCTGGGGGAGAGGGCAGAATGTTTTTCCTCTTTTCAAAAAAAGTTCTGTAGGCATCATTAAATTTCATTCACTTTTACCAGCCTATTTATATGCAAATAAAATGCAAATTATTTCAGAGTATGTGTGATTTTTAACTCTTTAAAATGTTTGCAGTTTTGCAGACCTAGCATTTACGTAGGTTTAGCTTATTTTTTAAGAAGAGAATTTATTAGTGGGTACATGCTAAAGCTTAAGATCTTCCTGTTAAGTGAAATGCTAACCTTTCTTTGGATCACATTAATGACATTTAAGAGAGAAACCTACTATCTTTGAAGGCCATGGTAAGGGACGCTTCACAGTTTAGCAGTTGAATATTATGTATACCACATCATTTAAGGAAAAATTGTTAATTAATGTAGACATTTTCAGTTAATTATGTAAGAGTTAGTGCTTGGGTTATTGTTTCTCTTCTAGCTTGCACATATCTGCAAAAGCAATTTGCAGTGGCCATACCCTGACCTTCAGTGTACAGTTTTAGATGGGAAATAAGGGGTTTTATGTTTTCTGGTTGGGAGATTCTGAATAATGACTTCAGCCTGGTTGAGCAGCTACAGTGTGGTTTGAACCACATAACAGGCAGCCAAAAGCCTTTCTGGTCTGTCAACAGCACAAATTCAAAAGTGAGTGTGGAGGGAAGTGTCCTTCATGGCGGTGATGGCAGAGGCAGCAGGGGTCTTGTGGGGTTGACTACTGGGCTGTCAGAGAGCACTCATAAGTATGGGATTATTAAAGGTAATGGAGATCAAATATTTTTATTGATGACATTTACACAAAGCATTTATTAGGCTGGCAAGTGCTAATTTGACTTTGTGATTTCCCCCCCACCTCCCCTCTCCCCTTAATTTTGGGTCTCAGTCTTCCGCTTAGGAGCACCCATTTGGCTAATTTTGTTTTTAGGTATTAAATATCCTGTATAAGCAAGTAAAGATTCTTTAATGTCTTTGTTAATTTATAAGTTTTCTGTTTGCCATGTCCATTCATGAGTTATTTTCCTGATATAGGTTTGCATATAGGCATACTGGAAAGGAAGATTCCCTGGTAGCTTAGCTGGTAAAGCATCCACCTGCAATGCAAGAGACCCGGTTCAATTCCTGGGTTGGGAAGATCCCCTGGAGAAGGGAGAGGCTGCCCACTCCAGTATTCTTGGGCTTCCCTGGTGGCTCCGGCTGTAAAGAATCTGCCTGCAATGCAAGATACCTGGGTTCCATCCCTGGGTCAGGAAGATCCCCTGGAGGAGGGCATGGCAACCCACTCCAGTATTCTTGCCTGGAGAATCCCCAAAGACAAAGGAGCCTGGAGAGCTGCAGTCCATAGCGTCACAAAGAGTTGGACATGACTGAGTGACTCAGCACAGCACAGCAGCATACTGACAAGGAGCATTTCATTTTTGTTCCAGGGTCCCAAAATTATAGCTGTATCCCCCAAAGCATTGTACAATCCAGATGCAATCTGGATTCAGTCTGGTTATTTTACTCAGGGCTTAGAAACCTCTTTTTCATTGTCTCACCTCCTAATTTCTTTCACAGAGGTAAGCCTCCTTTGCAGTGGACAAACTTTGACCCTTTGGAATTCCTAGAAGAGTTAAAGAAAATAAACTATCAAGTGGACAGCTGGGAGGAAATGCTGAATAAGGCTGAAGTTGGTCATGGTTACATGGACCGGCCCTGCCTCAATCCAGCTGATCCAGACTGTCCCGCCACAGCCCCCAACAAAAATGCAACCAAAGTAAGTACAGCCATTGCATTCTCCTCAAGAGAGGAAGGGAGAAAAACTTGATATTTGCCCCCATTTTTAGTTCTCTTGTTTTTAAGATTTTGCTCTCAACTTTTTTGGTCTGTGGAATTAAGTTTGTTTAAAGAGCTAAAATTTTGCTGTAAGATTTGCCATACGCCTCTCATTAGCCTTGTTATTAATGTTCTCACTGAAACAAACAAGCCCTTAATGCACTGGATTTTAACAAGGCATGTGACCTGCCTACTAATTCCTGTAATTATGTGGCTGTCTTTTTATTTTAGCCTCTTGATATGGCCCTTGTTTTGAATGGTGGGTGTCATGGATTATCCAGAAAGTATATGCACTGGCAGGAAGAACTAATTGTGGGTGGCACAGTCAAGAACAGCACCGGGAAGCTTGTCAGGTAATCCTGCACATGGAACATCCAAGCTGTCTCTCCTCTGTCCTCTCCTCAGAAACCACGTCTCTTCTGACATCTGCAAGTGTGTTTGCATTAATACTTAACTGTTATCCTAGCTAGCTGTCTGGTGTAATAGAATATTAGAAAATATTAGTGACCAGACCAGCTCAAAAATCACCTTCTGGGGAACTTTGCAAAAACAGGTCTATCATGTTCATCAAGACCATAGTGAGTGAGTGTAGAGTTTTAGAAGATCTACCTACTGCGGAGAAAATTGGGGCAAATATAAAGTAGGCAAGAGGGATTGGTCATACCATGTGGAGTTAAGTGATACGAGCTGAACTCTGTCACAGACTGTTAAAAGGAAAGACCAACAACTGACGGCTAAATGAGAATTATCCTCTGTGCACTTGTGGACTCGACTCCGTCAAGTGTCAGGCACTCCGTCTGAGATTTCTCCCTTGAGAGAGCCGTCGTCTGGGATTTCTGCACAAGCAAGCATGCAACACTGAGCCCAGCATATCTGGTCAAGCTATCTACTCCCCTACCCTTCCTGTTTCGTTGGATAGAAACTGAGAACGGAAATTGCCTATTAATTTAATTTGGGGGTATATCTGTAAAAGGTTTGTAAGGTTACACCTTTAATATGGTACATCGATCTATTAAATAAAATAACCATCCAGGTCCCATTTTAATGGAAACATGTGCTCACGTAGGACAGAATGGCTGCGGTGAGTCAAGGGTGCTGGGTGGGGATTTTGCACAGTGAGAGCTGCTCCCCGGGGATGCTCATGTTGTGGCTTTTCCACCCCATCACAGTGCCCATGCTCTGCAGACCATGTTTCAGTTAATGACTCCCAAGCAAATGTATGAACACTTCAAGGGTTATGAGTATGTCTCGCACATCAACTGGAACGAGGACAAGGCAGCAGCCATCCTGGAGGCTTGGCAGAGGACGTACGTGGAGGTAATCGGCTGGCGTTCTGATGCCCTTTGAATCTTAGTACAGACCCCTTAGTTACTAACTGCTTCATTTTCATGTTTTTTAAGCATTGTTTGCATTCACATTTATTTTCATAGTAGGTTGTAATTCTGGGAATCTGGTGAGATGGGAGCTTTTTCCTTTTCTTTCTACTGAAAATCTTCCTGAGGGATGCTAATTCTAACTCCAATGCCCTGAAACATTGTGAGGAACCAGTTGTGAACCCCAGAGCTGAGGCATAACAGAGTTTAAAAAAACACTTGGTTAGCAAGAAAAGGTGTCTGGAAAACATTAGCAAGGCATAGAATCTGTTCACAGCTGCAGTCCCCTTGGTTAGGTCATGTGACAGGAGCTGGCCTTTGTTTCCCAAGCAGTGACCTCCACTGAGCTGCATGTGACCTTTTAAAAGTGGCCAGCAAATGAAAGGGGGGAGGAGGAGTGCCCATAAGAATGAGTTGTTTTGGATTAGGAGGGAACTGATGGACCCGCAGATCAGTTGTAGAGTTATGGAGAGGAGAATAGCAGACTTAGACGCAGAGTAAATAGAGCTCTCAGAGTGAACTTCAGTTACACAGGCTCACCAGCTTACTGCAGTTCCACATTCTCACTTGATTAGCAATAGCCTTCACTGTCCTGCGCCCAGGTGGTTTCATGTTAATCCAAGTCCAAATACCAATCATGCAGAACTCTTTTTAAGGCATCTAGAAGTAGTGGGGGTTAGGCAAAGGGGACATGTCACTAGAAGTCTGTGCTCTTGAAGCTCACTGCAGCTCGAGTCCCATCTGGGAATTTATCCTTGCATTGTGACCACAGGTGGTTCATCAGAGTGTTGCTCAGAACTCCACTCAGAAGGTGCTTTCCTTTACCACGACGACCCTGGATGACATCCTCAAGTCCTTCTCTGATGTCAGCGTCATCCGAGTAGCCAGTGGCTATTTACTGATGGTAACAGTCAATTCACTTCTTCTGGGGGAGGAGGGGTTGGTTTTGTTTTTCAGTTTTTACCTTTTCATGACTGCCCCTGCTTCTTAACTGCTCTTAACACACACGTGCATCCAAGACAGTGAGAGCTCGGCTTCATAACGGTTTAAAAAGCGGTCATGTAAAGCATTTATTACCGTTTGCAGTTTGCCCATCTTTGACTTGTATCATTTCGTGTGATGTCTGTAATGTAAATTTTTGTTGTTGTTGGGATTTAATAAGTTCTACCTTTTGATTTGGGGTGATGGGTGGGGGAAAACATTAGAATCTTTACACATTCTAATGTTTGGCTTTTGTTTTGTGTCTCCCCCTCCCTCCCCACCTCCTCCAATTCCCCTTCATTCCTTCACCTCCCTCCCCAACCCCTGCCCCAACTGTTCTGCTTGCAGCTTGCCTATGCCTGTTTAACCATGCTGCGCTGGGACTGCTCCAAGTCCCAGGGTGCCGTGGGGCTGGCTGGCGTCCTGTTGGTTGCACTGTCAGTGGCTGCAGGATTGGGCCTGTGCTCATTGATCGGGATTTCCTTTAATGCTGCAACAACTCAGGTACTAAAGGAGCCATCCGTCCGCTGTTCATTGACAAACTCCCCTCCTCTCCAGGCTCGGCCTAGTTGGCCTCCTGTGTGTCCGTGTCACCTAAAGGGTCTTCCCGTCTTTTTCCGCTTGGATGCCCCATTCCTCAGAGTGCTGTCTCTAAATGGACCACTTGACAGTGGGCAGGTCTGAATGGGCTTGTTGATTAGTCAGAAATGCCTCACTTATCAGTGGAATTTGTATCGTGTATTCGAGCAGTGGGTCTTAATCTTGAATGTTCATTAGCATCACCTGGAGGGCTTGTGCAACCTGACTGCTGGGCCCCATCGCCAGAGTCTCTAATGCAGCCCATCTAGGGTGGGGGCGGCTAGCCAGCTCCTATCACTGCTGGTCTAGGGCTCACGCACTGAGAACCACTGCTTTAAATGAATTAGATTCCGTTTCATTTATTAACTTAAAAAATTATTGTACATGAAACTTAGTAATGTACAAGATCTACTGTGAGCTACAACTTCTACATATGGGGATTTAACTATCAGATAAAAGTAAATTTTTCACATGAGTGCATGGAAGCTGTCCTTTGGGTAACTACTAGGGGTTCTGGTGGCAATGTTTTAAATAGCTTTAGGATTCCCAGAATTGGACCTCATTTGTCTAATGTCACTGTGCTGTGTTTCCACTACAGGTTTTGCCATTTCTTGCTCTTGGCGTTGGTGTGGATGATGTCTTTCTTCTGGCGCATGCATTTAGTGAAACGGGACAGAATAAAAGAATTCCCTTTGAGGTAATAAAAAAAACAAAAGAAGAAAGCTTTGAGGAAAGCAGAAGTCCCTCTGTGTTCCTTGAGTGTTTGTCCTTTCCCTTTTCTCAATCTGGCCCAGTAACTATTTCAGTCCCAAGTGAGAAGATACATTGCTGACTGTAAATAAGTAAGTTAGAAGAATCTTAGGACACTTGCTCCAAAGTGCACATTTGTTTCTGCGAGTTTTTTGGTCACCTTATTCCCATTTCTCCTTGCCCCTTTCTAATCATATTAAAAATTTACTTAAATCATTATCTTGCAGCGTTGTGCTTTGAGTCAAAATGACCATGAGCAACACGCCTATAGATAGGTTTTCAGTGTTGGTGTTACAGAGAAAGGCAGAGATGTCTCCTCCCATAAGCATTGTAAAATACTGGGTCTCTTGTTTTGCCACTTACTTGAATTGTTAATTGTTCAGACAACATGTGGTCTGAGGCCCCACCTTCCAGCTCCCAGCGCTGTGGTTTCTCTTTCTCAGGACAGGACCGGGGAGTGCCTCAAGCGCACGGGAGCCAGCGTGGCCCTCACCTCCATCAGCAACGTCACAGCCTTCTTCATGGCCGCGTTGATCCCAATTCCCGCTCTGCGGGCATTCTCCCTGCAGGTGCGTCTCCAGGGGCTGGGGCTATGAGCACTGTGCTCACAGTGAGCCTCCTAGGTCTCCTTTTCTCCACTGATGTGCTTACGGTCCTACCACCATGAAGTCAAGAAGCAGGCCAGCGTTTGGGGCTCTCTCTTCTGGGGTGGATGCTTCTTTAAGCAATGACGCTGGCACTCCCTTTGAGGCAAAGTTCTAGGGTTCTTTCTTTCCTTTCAAGCCCTGTAGCTCCAAAGCCCTGAGGCCTGGGCATCCTCATAACCTATTGCCTTAGGGAGTTGCCGTTTTCCTTAAACTGAAATGGTACCAGGCCACTCTGTGGGATGCCTAGAAGCCACTGCTCCAGATGTGCAGGAGTCCTTGGATTGGTCCCTGGTGCAGTTCTTAATCACCCCTGCTTCTAAATTCTGTGCCCGACTGCCCTCCCCTGCTGGCCACCCTCTCTTGATTTCCCTGAATGAAAGTGGAGAAAGCATTAGTCACTCAGTCGTGTTTCACTCTTTGTGACCCCATGGACTGTAGCCCTCCAGGCTTCTCTGTCCATGGGATTCTCCAGGCAAGAATACTGGAGTGAGTAGCCATGCTCTCCTCCAGGAGATCTTCCTGACCCAGGGATTGAACCTGGGTCTCCTGCATTGCGGGCAGATTCTTTACCTTCTGAGCCACCAGGAAAGCCCTGAGTTCCCTAAAGCAGCCCCCAACACAAAGCCAGTGCACAGAGCAGACTCGCTGACACGGGATAAGGTTGCAGGGTAGCCCAGGCTAGACGAGAACATAAAAGCGAGCATGAGTTATACTTCACCGGGCGAGGAGATGTTGGCCAGTCTCTGCCTGGCAGAGTTCCCTGGTCCCTTGTTTGCTACTTTTCCTTCCTTGGCTCACCCTCCAGTCTCTCCTGGTCCCTCTTCTCTTTCCTTTTGGTTTCCTACCCCATTCTCAAGCTGCCCCCCAAAACTCAGAATTCCTCTCCCTTTCTTATGCGAGTTTGTCCCACTTGGTTCTGCTCCTTCCAAACCAGGCCCTTTCACACCTAGAGGCCTCAGACATATTTGGCCAGGGAGCCAGCTGAGTTGTAAGAATGAAGAGTTCCCTCAACTGGGGATGCAGCTATGGTATGGGCATTGCTCTTCAGCTGCTCGAAACTCATGGGACATCCTGAAATTGGTCAACACAGCAGAAAAAGAAGGCTGCTTGACCAGTCTGTGACATGGTCTTCCTCAAGGATATTATTGAGGTTTTGTGAATTAAATTCAAATTTTAAAACTTCAACTGTTGTCCAAGAAAGACTAAAGAAGCTGTGACTTTCCTTTCTCTCTGTGTCTTACAATGCTGAGAAGGCCAGGTTTTTAAAGGAAATATTTTGTTGCCACTTTTTAAACTCTTGTTATATCCATCCAGCTTTATTCATGCTGCTTTGCTTTTTAATCACCAAAAGGTTCTAAGGATTGTGACCAGGAGAAGAAATTGACAAATCATAGATTAGGTTGCTATTTATATTTTTATTAACACACTCAGCTCTTTTTTTAGCCTTCAGATACGAATCTTATTTCACTAATCACCTATATAGGCCTAAGCAACTAGTGATCTTACTGGATGTGGACACTACACTTGTTTAATACTTGGTGTAAAATTTTGTACCCATCATTATAACCACCAGAACCCCCAAAAGAGAAATAACTAAAAAAGGTTCTCTTCATTTTTATTATAAATTATAAAAAATAGAAGTAGTGAGTGAATAAATGAACAAAGTTAAATCTGAAATTGGGACCAAAGTTCAAGGAAAATGAAAATATATCTAACTGCTCAGTAATACGAAAGGTAAATAACAGATGCCCACTAACTATTAATTTGTTTTGGTACAGCTGAAGTTGTAGGATGCCTTTTGCAAAGGCATGCATGTGTGCAACACCTCTTGACAGCCTGCTCTTGTCTTGTATACAGCAGATTCTGGCACTGGGAGATTGGTCTAGAGTCTTTGAACAGCGGGCCCCTCCCTCTTGCCTCTGTCCCTCTCTGCCTGCCTTTTCCCTCTGTTCTGGCTGCCTCACACTCCTTCTTTTCTTCTTGTCCCTCTCTCTCATTTCTCCTGTTCTCTCAGTACAAACTGATGATTCATCAAGGCATACTCTCCTTTAATGATATCCTATGGTGTGGTGGTCTGAAAAGCTACATGAGTTTTCCTTACGCCTTTTAGAAAATCCAGTTCACTAAGTTCTCCTAAGGTAAGCACCTTACTGAGATGAATTGAATGCTGTTGGTTTTGCACTTCTATTCCAGGGTACTGGAGTATCTAGAAAATTGCATCTACAGCTTCTAGGAATCTTCATTTATTACGAAATGGCCTCCTGTGATACTGGTTCATTCTCTGTTTTTTTTTTTTTTAAAAAAAAAGGATGGAAAATGTAAGGAAAAAGCATGCCATGATTTTTGCAGTAGCCATCAGAAATTTTATGCTTGGTTCCCTTTAAAACGTGTTGACATTTGAAATTGACCATTATATAATTTCTCTTTCCTTTAGTTACCATGTTAAGTTGAGACTTTGGTTATTCATTTGCACTTGTATTTTCAGGATGCTATAGTTTAAGCATCTAAAGGGACATATCCAAAACAGTTCTGTCCAGTAATAAACCTATATTTAAAATTTTTCCCTGTCAAGCTTTTTCAATTTTGTAACCTTGTCAAAATAAATAGATTTTTTTCCCCAAAGAAACCTCCTTGTCAGTCTTTCACCATCTGTCCAAATGCCACCTCTATACCAGAAAGCAGTGGCACTGTCTATAATTCTTTGAGAACCAATGCCGTGCACCAGGGTTTTGCTGGTAACTGAATGGTATTTGTTCTTCAATGAAAACTCCTGAAATAGGATGTCTTATTGTTCCAGATGGTAAGAGGGTTTAGGTGAGGGCCCCTCTAGGCAGGCCAGTTCCTCTCTGCTCTGCAAGTGTCTCAGTGTGGCCACCCATAGGTGCTTTGCAGGGGAATGGGACATTTCCTTTAAGCACAGCAGTTAGAATTGATTGATGGTATAAAATCATCCCCATCAGCTTTTCACATTTACCTAAAATTTCTTAAACTGCTCTTTGCTCTAGTGGTGACACTCTTCTCTTATTGAGAAATTCTTGCTGTTTGTTTTTACCATTTCAGTGCTCTTTAGAGGATATTGGAGTTCTACTACTTTCTTGTCAGAAAATACCCTACTTGTGTATTTAATAAGCTGTTGGACAATAAGTTGAGATGGGAGGCTACCTTGGGTTTCTTCTTTCGTTGTTCCATTTCCACCACAAAGAGACCAAGCAAGATGCCCATCAAATTTCTTGAATGGATGAGGCTGGTATCAGATGCATCTCCCAGCCACTGCAGAAAACATCAGTGTTGTTCTGGCCACAACATCTGGGCCACCTGTATACATGTTCATGTATATGAACTTTTTCACAGTCTCTACTCCCATCCCCAGGAACTTTTATTCAAAATGAGAAGCCCAGAGATTCTTATTGTATTGTACTCCTGAATTCTAAGCATGACTCTAATAAAAAGAGAAACTGAAAGGATCCAACCCCCAAGGTTGAGGTTTCCTGGAAAACCCTTGAGAATCAGACCCATTCTCCCTTCTGTTCTGATTGGTCAGGAATCCTACCTTCCCCCCCGCCCCCTGTCATCATGTCTGTCCCCTGAGACAGACACATCAAGCCTGAGTCTGATGGGAACCTCAGGTAGGTGACCTTCCTCTGCACCACTGGCTTATTAGGTAACAGGGATGATAGCAGCACTAATGTCTGCCTCCTGGTTGCAGAAGGAATCAAATGGATCCTGTGTAACTTAGCTACCTGACCTCCTATCACTCCTGCCCCTTTCTCTTACTCTAACAGAATTTTAAACTTAGCAGTGCTTCATAGCTCCTAAACTCAGATACCACCTATTGAATTTCCTCCACACATCCTTCCTGGCTTCCCCAAAATCCTTTTTTGTCTTCTCCATCTCCCAAGAAACCTTTTTTGACCACCCTCCCCACCCCCATGTGTACCCCCAACTGCATGTTCCCCCTCCTCTGAGCCACTCTGGAACTCTGGCCTGCTTTTATTACTACATTTATCAGCCTAAACTGTAATTTGTTTCTGGCTGTGTCTTTCCTTGAGAACAGGATTTTTGTCTTATTTATCTTTGTGTCTTCCGTATCTAATATGGAGCCCTGACTTTTAAAATTATTTGCCTCTTAGATTAATCCTCTAGTCAAAATAGTGAGTTGCTTGTAACATATTAGACAGGTCTTTAAAATACCTTATCACAAGTGGCCAGTTAACATGTTTCATAATTTTTGAGTTGATGAGTTTTCAAGGCAGATTAAAAAGAGGGATTGAGTCATTTTTAGGAGACTCTTGGTTATTTTTTTGGTTTTGTAGACTGGACAGAGTATTAATCATTGAAAAGCATCTCTCCAAAACTTGGGCTTGCATTTCACCTCAAGCATAAATTCAAAAATTACTATCCAACGACATTTGCGAAGTTCTCTGATATTGTTTCATACCACTTATAATCAAGTTTTCTTTTCTCACCCTGAGACATTTATCCAGTTTGAGATGGTTTTATAACTAAGCAGTTCTTTGAAAAACCTCGTAAGAGGTTTTATTTTCCAAGCAAATTTCTGGTGATTTCTTGGTTGCTTAGCATTCCACTTGCATTTTTTCATCGTGCTCCTTCTTTCCATGCCTTTCTGAATGGGAGAGCCTTTCAACTGTCCTCTGTTGACTTTCCCCTATTAACAGCCCAATTGTATAATTTTTACTAGGTCAGCAGGAGACTTGCCAAAGCACTACAGAATCTAGCCCCATGTTTATTCTAGGTTATGGAGTGACTTTTGAATCTGTACTTACTTATTCTGCATACTAGAATCACACACAGGAATTTCTGCTTAACTCTCCTTGACCTTTTATGTTACTGTGCTCACACACACCCCCAGGCTACTCCAGAGGCTATTTGGAATGTGCCTATTAAACACCTCAGGGGATGTGTTTGAAATTTTATTTCATGTTTTAAAGGTGACATTTTGATATACTCAATCCACTTTATATATAAAATTTCTAAGTGTAAAACCAGGTCTGCGTGAACTCTTAGGAACATTCTAAGAGGAAAATGTTTCTTTTTGTCTTAAAGTAAAATATCAAGTATATTCTTGTGTTCTGCCTTTGTCAGTTTGGTTTGGTTAGGTTGCTACAAAATGTTAGTTTAGTTTAGGTCCTGTGTTTGTACCCCATGGACTCATGGAATTATTAGAGATGGAAAGGATCAGAATGATGAGTCCCTCCTGTTATATAGTCAGGTGGTCTCTTAGTGATGGACAAGAAGCAAAGTGATAAGAAATTCCAGCATCTATTTTGGGTTTAAATACCTCAGTAGGAAAGTGAAAGAAGGGTGTTGTTTAAAGCATCTTTATTTTTTCAAAGCTGTCCTCTGACTGGGAGGAGATGTGTTAGTGACCTCTTCATTTTTTTTTTTTTTCCTCCCAGGCGGCTGTAGTAGTGGTGTTCAATTTTGCTATGGTTCTGCTGATTTTTCCTGCAATTCTCAGCATGGATTTGTATCGACGTGAGGACAGGAGATTGGATATTTTCTGCTGTTTTACAAGGTACATTTTCTGTCTGCTATGGTCCTTATTTAGAGAACTTTTTAGTCTGTGCACTTGGAAGGAAGTGTAGTTAACAGTGTGCAGGACACGGGAGATGATGGACAGAGGATGCTTCCTCAGGGGGACGTCAGGGTCAAGGGGGCTCTCCCCTCCCTTGAGCATCCTCACAGCCCCAAGGTAGTGATACATGTGGTCACTGTTTATCACACACCAATGTTGCTGATCGTTGGGAGTGTGTTGTATCTCTATGAATTAGGGCAGAGCAATGGTTTAAAACCACCATCTGGAAAAAATAAAGAGGTTCATCAGCATGTAACTTGATTTTAGTCAGCCAGATTCAGGATCAACCATCCATTTGGCCTCCTTTGACTTACTTATGTCTCTGTCCAGATAGATAAACCAGACGATGTTTGTGGAGTTCAGTGATAACATTTTGTTCCTAAATCAGAACTATGTAGAGTGGGTAGTATCAGTCATTGGCAAAAATGAAGGCATTGTTTCCTTGTTTCAGTATCCCACTGCAATGTAATTCCCCCTCTTTCAGCCCCTGTGTCAGCAGAGTGATTCAGGTTGAACCCCAGGCCTACACAGAGACTCACGATAACACCCGCTACAGCCCCCCACCCCCCTACAGCAGCCACAGCTTCGCCCATGAAACCCAGATCACCATGCAGTCCACGGTGCAGCTTCGCACAGAGTATGACCCCCACACGCACGTGTACTACACCACTGCCGAGCCACGCTCCGAGATCTGCGTGCAGCCCGTCACCATGGCTCAGGACACACTCAGCTGCCAGAGCCCTGAGAGCACCAGCTCCACCAGGGACCTGCTCTCCCAGTTCTCGGAGTCCAGCCTGCACTGCCTTGAGCCCCCCTGCACCAGGTGGACACTCTCATCCTTTGCTGAGAAGCACTATGCTCCTTTCCTCCTAAAACCAAAAGCCAAGGTAATTGCCAAAACAGAAGACTCTGTTCTTCAAAAGATAACAAAGCAGGCGCCTTTGAAATTCACTGGATTGCTTCTTCAGATGTGATATATTTCAGGCCTCCTAACGAGTCAGCCCATTTAGAGCTGGAGGCCATTTTAATGAGCTCATCTTCTACAGGCATGAATCTCTATGTGGCAAATGTTTCTTCCAAATTTACATCGACTCCTTGCATTTTTAACATTTTATTCTTTGTGAGCTTGTTTTAAAATGCAGTTACCATGATTTTCTGGTTTTTTGCTCTGGAAAAACAACCCCTCCATGCTGTTTCCAGGCAGTATTACGGGAAGAGTGAGGTATAAACCAAACAGCTCATCTTTGTCAAGAGAGAGTCGGTTATGTTCCTCTGGGTCTGATCTCGGGCCCCTTATTCTGTTGCAGGTCGTGGTGATCTTCCTTTTCCTGGGCCTGCTGGGGGTCAGCCTTTATGGGACCACCCGAGTGCGTGATGGGCTGGATCTTACAGACATTGTGCCTCGGGAAACTAGAGAATATGACTTTATTGCTGCACAGTTCAAATACTTTTCTTTCTACAACATGTATATAGTCACTCAGAAAGCAGATTACCCGAATATCCAGCACTTACTTTATGACCTTCATAAGAGTTTCAGTAATGTGAAGTATGTCATGCTGGAAGAGAATAAACAGCTTCCCAAAATGTGGCTGCACTACTTCAGAGACTGGCTCCAAGGTAAGACGCTGCTGGAGGGCACTCATCCTTTGTGAGCGTTCACCACTTGCTCTTTAGCGTGTTCCACTTCCTCAGGTCCTCTTTGTTCACTTTACTCAAGTGTTAGATTATAATGTAACACTGACATGTTTCATGGAGTTCTAAGGATTGCTTAAATTTCTTATGTAGACTCTGGGGCAGCTCCCAAATCTGGTTTTTACCTGTAAAACAATGCAGACAATTCAAATAGCCAATTCAGAAACTTCTGTAAGAGTTTATGAGTACACAATAGGAAATGGGAAAGTAGGTTATAAAATATGGAGCTGGATGCTTCTAGTACTTTTTTTTTTTTTGGAATGGTGGTTAGTTTGGTGACCAAGTGAAATTCAAGTGTTGATGGAATTTCTAGGCTGACTCGCTGCCAGATCATAGCTTACTACACAAGTAGTTTGCATCATTGGAGAATATAATTTTAAATTCCATATTTTGACTATCTCTTGACTTGGCATGTGAAATAAATTTAAATGCTCAATCGCATCTGATAGTATATCATAAATAATCAATTCTGCTTTAAAATGTCTTTCTTAGCTTCTTACCTTGTCCTTAGAAACATTTCTAGGAAATAGTAGTAAACTGGAGAGAAAGAAAAAAGGGCCTAAATTTGCTCCTAACTGTTGACTGAATATGAATGTATTCAGTAATTCTAAGAACATCTGTTCATTTATTATGTGTTGACACATGCAAAGTGGAGTGGAGAATCAAGATAATTATACACACAATTCAAGCAAAAATACTCTTACTGAAATACCCAAATAATTATGGCCCCAACATTTTTTGGCTTAAGTTATCCAAATGATTGTCTTAATTTCCCACTTAATTAGGCTTGTTTAAACACAGATTTAAATGCCTTTTTTGGTCTTAAGTCAATACACTTGTATGTAAAGATTAAGCAGCCAGTTTCCCTGTGAGTTTGCATGAAATGGTAAACAATGTGAATTCGACTGAAAATTGTTCAGTACAGATTCTAGCTTTGACTCATATTCCCAGAATGTTGTTCTTGCGTGTATATCAGATTTGACCTCTTTCTGAGGAAGGCAAAGAGAACTACATGACATTAACATTATTTTTTAACATGCTCATGAGATTAACTTAAATTTTTTCCAGGTCTTATTTTTTACAGTAGTATGGGAAGCAGTGGTTTTTTTCAGATAATGAATCAAGAGGACCCAGAAAGTTGAGAGATTCCCTGCTTTTCATTTTTCCCCCTTTGGCCAAAGACATGCAAATAACTTGCCACAAATAACAGAGATCTGCTGAGCACTGCCAGTATCTGAGAGAAGAAGGGTTATTGTGGAAGTGATTCCAGTGTCTTTGGCCATTCCTTTGGATGCTCAGTATGGCATGTTAGGCGGAGCTTGGAAAGAGGGCAGCAGGGCATTGTCTCCAGGCAGTGCAGAAAGCTAACCTTTTTATAGCGTATTATAAATTATCCTCATGCTTTCATCCTTTTAAAGACCTAAAACATTTGGACTTGAGAATCTTTTAAAAGGTGTGCTTGAATCCTATTTTCATTGCTAAGTGAACAACACCCATCTAGACCAAGTAAGACCCATTCTTGGCCCCTGATCTGGGTCCCAGCCAGACCAGATCTCTGCCTCTGACTCTGCCAAAGTCCAGCAGAGAACTGTACACAGAAGGCCAGATACCACCAGCTGCCTAGATGCTTTTCGGGCCTTTTGTATGGTTGATTTGGTCTTTGAACATTTATTTCCTCCAAGGAAGTAGTTGTCCTTGAATCAGCTTTCCTTCAGAACATTTTGGGTAGTTATAAGTGATGGGACCCTCATTAGAAAACCATGTCATCCCACTGGTCTTTAGCAACATTCCAGTAGTCTTTTTAAGGGAGGAGGGGTTTACTCATAAAAATATATAATCAAAATACAGAAAGTATCTCAAATGTCACCTTTAAACATATATGCAAATGAGGTGACCTTGGTGATAAAACCATATTGTACAATTGGTGTTTGTTTATATTTCACACTGAATTACACAAATAAAATTTAGATTAACATTTTCTTTTTAAACTCTTGTATCAAAGAAAAATTGACAATAGGGATGATTAACTCAGAACTTCACACTAGGAAATAATTTCTGGTATAAAATATTTTAAAAGTTCTAGCCAAAATTTCATGTTTTGCTGTAAAATAAGTGAAACATCACAGTTCTTTCCTGAAGTGCATGTATTGGAATATGAAGTGTTAGCCAAGGGAAAAGCAAATTCCTGTTCCTTATTTTGTGTCAAGATTGTATAATGTGTGTGCACTTAGGCCAAAACTTATTACTTGAGGTTTTTGATAATTAGTCAGAAAATCATATACTAATTATGAAAGAACTTAGCTTTTCTGTGAAGTCAGTGATTTATTTCTCATTCATCCTGAAGCCCCAGCAGAGTGAATGGCGAGTAGGGGCCAGCAGCGTCAATGATGAGTTGAACTAAATAGCCAGTGAGGGTGACCTCCCCAAATCAGATCCTTCTTTCTTTGTCTCACTCGAGGTTGTCTTCAGAGTATAAATATCCGACAACCACACTCAGATTTTTGGGGCCCCCTGTTTGCCACTTTATATCATTGGTGCCCATGTTAGCTCTGCTATCTTATTCTTGAGGCTTCAACAAATGCGTCCTGGGCACTGCAGTGCATTCAGGGCAGTTCAAAGCATCTGTGGTTCAAGCCAACTCTGGAAGAGGCTGCCTCTTCAGAGGTTAACTCCAGCACTTAGCTGCTGTGTGGCTTTCCTTACGTCACTTCACCATCCTAAGCCTCGGTTTTCTCATCTGTAAAATAATACTAGCAGGCTTAAAAACTCATAAGGTTTTAAGAATTAAATGAGAGGTAATCAGTGTAAAATGCTCAGACAGCCCCACACTCACTATAAGCCTGAGCTGCTCCTCAGGATTAGCAGGTCAAGAGGAAAGGGTTAAAGTGGCATGGAAGCCACAAAGTGATGAAAATTCTATTATGGTGAAGAAACCAGAACAGGCCTCTTTTCTGGGGGGTTGTGGGGTAGAGGTGGTTTTTTTCTCTCCTGTTTGTTTTTTCCAAAAACCCAAAAAAAAAAAAAGGCTTTAGGTAATAAAATAACATCTGTTCAATACTGAGGGCTGTGTGCATGCCTCGCCATGAAAAACAGTCTGTGTGCAAGAGCAGCGCGGCCGTTCCCGGTGGCCTCCCCACCCGGCCTTGCAGCCGCTCCATTCTCCCCAAACAGGGCCTTCTTTCACCACGGAGCCCGCGGGCCTTGTCCCCAAGTTGCTCCTGTGAAAACAATGCCCACAGCAGAGGTTTAGAGATCAGACAGAGAGACAGAGAGCGCGAGAGAGGGTCTGTGCGTTCCTCTTCCCTCAGCTTCAACCCCCACTTTGAGCTCTAAACACGGAACCGGCTCTGTGTGTTGGGAGGCGTTGGGGGCGGGGGGTGACTTTGAAGTGACTGAAGACCCTCCCTCCATTCTTCCCACGTCTAACCTGTGCATGTGCAGCTTGTTCAAAAGACGTGGCTTCTTGGGGCCTGGGACTCTGGAGTTCTACGTGGGAGGTGATTTGGGGGTGCAGGGCAACAAAAGTAGCGAGGGTGTCGGAGGAGACTGTGTGCGAGCCTGCAGTTGCTCGGCGCCTCAGGCCGGGTCACCAGGGCCCTGTTTTCTCTTCCAGCACGCTTATCTCTTTACAGCTGTAGCCAAACCGTCAGGTCTGTAATGATGGTTTTGATTACAGAGGCCAAGCGCAGCTGTGTGTGGTGGGCTCGCCCATCCCCCAAGCCCACAAAGCTCTTTCCTTCCCCCTCCCCGGCCTTGCGGTTTGTCATCTGTTCTCACAGAGACCCCTTGTATTGGCCTGTGGCTTCCTGTTCTCAATCTGATCCAAATTTACCCTGTGAGGTATTTCCCTGCACACACGCGCACACAAGATCCGTCCTCCCCCCTTCCTCCGCACCCCCTCTTCAAGGAAGGGTGGCAAAGAGGAAGAGAACAGTCGAGAGTGAATAGGTGTTGGCTGTGATCTTTACACAACCTGGCAGCCGATCCCACAGCTTGTGTTAGCTCCACAAGTCGAACAGATGGAACAAATTGACAGAATCATGTTCACTCACCCTGGGCTGGAGAAGCAACTCAGTTGCTGTTTGAAGTTGGGGGGTTTGAATGTGTTTTTCCTGCTCTGAATGGAATTTCTGGTTGTATTGAAGAACCCATGGCTTAGTACCTAATGTGTAACAAAACAGTGTTTGAGCCTAGTGTGTCTTCCGCACCCAGCTTTCTCTTGCTTTCTTGTGACCTGGGGGAGAAGAGGGGGAGTTTGGGGTTAAAACATGTGTATTTGTTTCCTAGAAATGAATATTCCCTCCCTTCTGCCTTTTGAAGCAGTGACTATCAGCAACCTGAAGTTCATTCATGAAACACATGAGTATCACGTGAAATCAAGAATAAGCAGAATACAGAGTGCTTGGAGTTGATGGCAAACACTCGGCTGTCCTCAGCCTACCCCATTAGGACCAGGATCAATCTGGATAAGAGTTATAATGTATTACACACATTTGCCTTTTCTAGGGCTTCAGGATGCATTTGACAGTGACTGGGAAACCGGGAAAATCATGCCAAACAATTACAAAAACGGATCGGATGATGGGGTCCTTGCCTACAAACTCCTGGTACAAACCGGCAGCCGTGATAAGCCCATTGACATCAGTCAGGTACTCTCACTTTAAACCTTATGCCTTGGGAGCTTCGGAGAGAGTTCTTGAGCAGGGCTTTGGGGCTTTTGATCCCACTGGATAATTGTGTGGCTGCAGGAAAACCAAAGCACCTCGCCTTGCTCATCTGTCAGATGGGGACAAGTGTGTTCCTTACCTTCAGAGCAGTTGTCAGAACAAAGCATAGCTGCGGCAGTGCAGATTCTTTCAGATGTTAGACATACTGCGCTTCATTGTTGTCTTTTGAATTCTAGTCCTTGTCACCCTGTCAGTCTTGGTTATATTCAGACTTGGAAAGGTGTGTCATTTGGGTAGCAGAATTTGAAAAATAGAAGTTGGGGTGATGGTTAGGAGAGGTTACTAGCAGGATGGGAATATTTGTTAGGTTTGATTCCTTTGGGTCACTTGTGGCCTGAGGGGTAGAGGAGGACAGATGGATTGCCCCGTCATGAGTGAGGCAGACGGAAATGCAGATCTTTGGACTCTCATGGAATCACTGTTGTGCTTACCCCCGAAGAACAAGAGCTGTTTCTGTTTGGTAATCATATTCTCCAACTGCATTTGCCTCTTGGCTGTGACACTTGGATTCCAGCATATCCCCTCTGATTCCTTGGGCATGCTGGTGAGGGCATTTGGACCCTTCACATTTCAGAAGAGTCCAGCCCCACTCCTGGCTTCCCCAGGTCCTCCTCCCTCCGTTCTGTGTAGCTTACTTGCTTCACCTTCAGGCAGAAAACCGTCATACTAATGATCTTCCCAGCAGCTCTGTTTATTGTCTCCCCATTTTTGCTGGCATTAAAGGTGACAGATTTACAAAGTACATTGTTCAGGGTTATTATGGAGTGTGAACTCGGTGCTTTATGGCCGCATGTGGCATGCTGTCAGGCTTGACAAGGATGCAGGCAGAGGAGTCTGTCTGAGAGATGGCAGGGGGATGCTGGAGGCTGGGTTGGTTTTAGGGCTCAGGGACACCGTGGAACAAATGTGATTGGGCCAGGCCGCCAGACATCATTTCCTCTGCCTGGGAGGGAGAAAAGCATGCTGTGTGCACAGAGGCCATGTGAGCTGTACTATGTAATTCCAGAGACGGCTTGAAGACATACAGTTGTTACATATCCTGTGGATTAATTGAATCCAGATCCCTGAAATTTAGTTCTCTCACTCTCCTCCACTTTCTTCCTTTACTCTTTCCCTATTAACTTCTGTCACTGGTGTTTTTCATTTCGTTAAAGATGAAAAGCATTGGAACCAGGTCTCCATCTGAAGTAAACAGGAAAAAATATATGCATATATACATGTGTGTCTGTCTGTATTTCTCTCTGGATGTTTTTCACCTATACAAGGCCCACAGACCAGCTCTTGAGAGAGCACAGTGTTTATTTGGCTTCCTCTTAGGATGTGGCACATATGCTAAATGTGACCACCTCGCTGAGACTAAGATTCCCAGAAAGACCAAGATTATGCACCCGTCCCTTCTACTTTCTGGCGATGGACATCTTTTGAATACACAGGTCATAGGAGGCTAGTGTTAGCAAAATTTATACAGATGTTGTTTTATTTTTATAGCTCTCCTCCATTTACTGGGTGGCATTTCCTTCAGTGTTAACAGCAGAGGTTAACTGCACACAGACGTGTATGGGGATTCTTGCCAGGTTTTTTTTTCCCCCTTCCCCTCCTATAAATATGTTTCTCCAGATTGTTCATTCTCTGCCTTGGCTGCAGACAGTCTTTTATCGTTCAGATTTAATTGGTTCAGTCAATTCCTGGGCCATCTGCCGAACTGTGTGTGTGTGTGTGTGTGTGTGTGTGTGTGTGTTATAAACATGCCGATTATTGCATTCTCTGATAGGTGCATTTTAAAAGGAACCTAAGGTGTTCTGATGGGATTTTCTGCACTTGCAAACAGAGACATTCTCTTCTTTGTTGCAAATGCTGATGCAGTCTCTGCTTCTCTGTAGGCAGGAGTGTGTTGACCCCAAGCCCCCACTCTGAAAGACTCCTGTTCTACCCATTTTGCAGCTGACTAAACGGCGCCTGGTGGATGCAGATGGCATCATTAACCCCAGTGCTTTCTACATCTACCTGACTGCTTGGGTCAGCAACGACCCTGTGGCTTATGCTGCCTCCCAAGCCAACATCCGGCCTCACCGTCCTGAGTGGGTCCATGACAAAGCTGACTACATGCCAGAAACCAGGCTGAGAAGTAAGTAGCCCTCCACTGGACCTGCTGGCTGCTGGGGGCTCCTTGTACCCTGTACTTCCAAACTCAGTTGTAGCCCTTATCCATTGACACCAATTAGGGTTCAAAAGTGTAAACAGAATAGTGTATTTCTTTTAGTTTAAAACTCTGGGAGACAGATGAGGATGTGTAATCGAATACAACTCATGCTCTATCACACTGAGAAATAAGAGTCTCTAATCTCTCTTTGTGCCTTTGAGTCTAAAACATCCACCAGGCATCTCTCTTTAATGCCAGCTGTTCCATGTGAAAGTTGGGGACGCCTCCAGGTTGAGTGTTGTTTTACTATTGCAGAGTTTTATCACTGGGGATTATATGTTTATCTTAACTTTGTCAACTCTGGTGTTGAAGGGATTTTTGGCAAGTTGAGTCATTCCTATAAGCCACCAAGCACCTGTACTCTGTCAAAGCTGTTTAAACCGGAGCAGAAAAGTCTGTATACAACAGCGTCCTCTTCCTTTCACCTCTCAGCCCCAACTTTGAAAGGTAGTTCTGGATGGATTTAATTTGCATTTATGTTAGAGATATTAGTTGCTTATACCTTGGGTATGAGGCTGAGGATGGACGTGAGAAAGAAGACAGGTCCCTTTGCGAACATGGCTGGAGAGCAGGCGGGTTGTGCTTCCCTGTATCTAAACCTCAGAGCCTTGTGGCAAGCAGCCAAGGCTTGTCTTAATGAAAATTTATAGTTGAGATTATAATAGGGCAAATCATGTTTAGCAAGTCAGCTGAATGACCCCAAAGGGTCTGGAACACACAACGGCAGTAACTAAATGCTTGTTGTGTGAGGATTTCTTCCCCTGCTGCTGAAGACTTAGCATTGCATTAAAAAAGAAGCATGGAAGGTTTAAGTGTGTAAGATCACTAAAAGGATAAGAAAGTTAAGCATTTTTCTCAGTAAAGCATGACTTTCGAGTTATTTTATTCTCATAAGTGATTAAGTAAAATGGTTTGAACTTAGTGTTTTCACTTGTATCAACTGAACAGAAAAAAATGTTACCACAATTGAATTCTTAAGTTGTTTAGACCCATTACAAACAATGACTGCTTCTAGAAGATTAAAAATCTAAGGGTAAATCAATACACAGATCACAGTCTCCTCCTCCACCTGCAACCCACCCCCCCCAAATCAAAAGTTGATTATCATTAAAAATTTTTTAAACCAAAGACTGAAACTGTTAAGACCGTAAGACTACCAAGACTATCACTGGTATTGTTTGTCCTTCACACTGAAAGAAGAGAAGTAAGCAGACTTTCTTGCTGAGTTCTTTCTCTCCTCATTGCACTTACGGAGAATCTGGAGACTGGCATCTGGGAGGCTAACAGTGGGACACTTGCTGCATTTTTCCACCTTTGGATGGAGTCTGTTTGCCTGTCTCGGTGCTGCCGGGAACCCCTGGCCCATGGGGCATCTCCCTGCTGTCTTTTCTGTGCAGTCCCTGCAGCAGAGCCCATCGAATACGCTCAGTTCCCTTTCTACCTCAACGGCCTGCGTGACACCTCGGACTTCGTTGAAGCCATTGAGAAAGTCAGAACCATCTGCAATAACTACACGAGCCTGGGGCTCTCCAGCTACCCCAACGGCTACCCCTTCCTCTTCTGGGAGCAGTACATCGGCCTCCGCCACTGGCTCCTCCTGTCCATCAGCGTGGTGCTGGCCTGCACGTTCCTCGTGTGCGCCGTCTTCCTCCTGAACCCCTGGACGGCCGGGATCATTGTGAGTTTATTCTAAGGGTCTTTGTGGAAGTCAAATTCCTTTCAGCATAGCTCTTTCTGCAGCCGGGAAGTTTTGTTTATGTCTGGGCCTCGGGAGGAGGGTATAGATTGCATCATCCATACTGTATTTATTCTACTGGAGGTGGCGAGGTTCATGCTTAGGTAGAGTCTTTAATGGCCTTAATCTTATGTCCCCTCTCCTGTAGCATTAAACTTTTTAGGTAAAGATAGGGGAGTTTTTGAGCACACTTTCCATAATAGAGCTGAGTGTATATTGATACAAACACTCAAAGCATAACTAATTGTTTTTTTAATTCAAGTGTCATTTTGTTACAATACCCATGCCAAATATAGAGAAGATTCTTCTAAATGGAGGGATAATTAGAGAAGTTTGGATGGTGGTGTATGGATAAATCATTTTAGAGATGGTTTTGTGTGGTGTATTTGTTTTAACTCTTGGGGAGAAATGATAAAGTATTGCCAATCTATTCTTTTTGCATTCTTTCTCTGAGTATAATGCTTGCAGGTTTGAAGCTAGTTTCATGTAGAGTCTAATAAAATCATGGCAGTGTTTAAATTCCATGAACTGTGGTATAGCCTTCAAAATGCCAAAATTATAAAAACAGAGACCAGGTCTTGTTTCTGCACCATAAGTCTGTATAGCAGGTATGTTTAAAGGTAAATGTTTAGTCTGTAGGAGTTTTCATGGTACTTAAGCAATTGATGTTATCCATCTTTCATTAGCTTATTAAAAGAAAGCAAAAGGAACTTTTATTGTACTTGCCTGCTCGCCCTTCACTGCCTGCTGTCCCCTACCCCCAGAAGGAAAGATCATTCTCTCCTTCTCTTGTAAAGTTTATTGTTTTATTTGTATTTTCTCCTCTCTGGCCCAAAAAACTCCACAAAGTCTACCTCACGTATTCTTTCCATCTCCCTAGAAATTTTTACAAGGCAGATGAAAGAACGGCAAATAAGAGCTTTTCCCTGGATTTAACTGTTTGTATTGTCCACCCCAGTGACTCCACATTTCTTCAGTGAAGGGGCTGTAACCTGACCCTCATCAGCTGACCATGCGTCCCCTCTCTCCTAAGTCATCCTCACTCAGCCCACAGGCTCTCCAAACAAAAGCAAAGCAACTTCTACATAAAAGAATATTCATTCAGCCTGTCCTATCAACTTTCTTTAGGATGGAGGGCAAGGCAACCAAAAAAGTTTCAGCTCATTTACAAGTTGAAGGATGATCCCTGATGGTTAAGATCAAAACAGAAGGAGACGCCTTGTTTTAAACTGTATTAAATGTGTAGCCAGCAATGAGTACATATCGGTATAAGTCTTTGTAGATCACACTCATGGAATAGTTTGGAGAGAATTTTTGCAACACCCAGAGTGTATTTGTGCCCAGCCACTCATCCTATGTGTTTTTTTTAAAGGTGACAGTCTTGGCTTTGATGACAGTTGAGCTCTTTGGCATGATGGGCCTCATTGGAATCAAGCTGAGTGCTGTGCCTGTGGTCATCTTGATTGCTTCCGTCGGCATTGGAGTGGAATTCACTGTTCATGTCGCTCTGGTAAGGGAGATAGTTTCAGTGAAAGCCGTGAAACAGCAACCTGTTTCCTCAAGCTCTTTTAGTTTACAAGTTGGGAACCTTCTCATTTTCTCCACCATCAAGGAGCACATCTGACACCTATCACAGCAAAAGGCTTGGGAACGCGGACATTCCCCAGGAGTGGCTGCAGCTCAGCTGGACTCCTTTCCCTCTGAGGAAATCTAGGAAGCAGGTCATCACAGGTGGAAGGTAGCCGGGCCGTGTCAACAGTAGACGGTGTCCTTGGTGTGTCCGAGTGGGCCCGGAAGGATTCTGCTTATTTGCTGTTGTCAGTTGTGGCACAGGTCCTCAAGGTGTCAGCTTTTCCTAGACAGATGTTATACTAAGTATGTGTGTGCACAAATACATACAATTTTTAAAACCACAGTAATAAAGCGGGAATAACATGAGACCATACTCATAGGCGTGGTGGGCAGGCATAGTTGAGGGTGAGGTGAATTGGCAGCTAAGGAAATACCCTGGGGCTAATGAACTCCCCACCTGAGCACCACCTCCCACCCCAGTTCCTTCGACCTCCCAGCCTCCGACCTCCAGCCTCCAAATTCGTGACAACAGAACATAAAAGAATTAGTGTTGCTCTCCATAGGGATCTTTCCCCTCTCTCTCTGGGCCCGGTCTTGTGAAAAAAGAGGGTAAACTTCAAGAGGAGTCTAATCCATGAGACAAGTCCATCCTATACATTTATCAGAGAATTATCTAAAAGCCCCACAGTGATGTGTAAATTATGTTCCATCCACACTTGTGTTTATATCCTAAGACCTTGGGTTTACATAGGCATTCAGTAAATACTTATTGACTGAATAAATACTGATGTTTGGAATGCTTGGCCAGGAAACCTAGCACTGGACTTGGATCACATTACTTTTAGCCTTGCTTTTGCAATCTCTAGCATTGGGCTCAACACATGGCATACGTGTGTCTACACATGGGTGTCTCCTACTTTCTGTTGTCCTCTTTCGGGGCGATATTTATGCTACTTAGGGATTATAAACTTTTGTATTTCAGAAAGAATGTTTTGTTGCAGTTAACCTGTTCCTCCCCTAGTATATAATAAAAAGGTGATAATATAGAAACAGTTCCCTAAATCTTGAACCTACCCAAATTACTTTCCTCAGTTGAGCTGGGAAGGAGGATGGATTTTTAAAAAGAAGAGCTTAGAAATTAGAAAACACATAATTATAATTTCTTTTAAAAATGAGAAAAATTTATATGTGAGTTAAAAATCCACAAATCATTTTATTCTGACATGAATGAAAACCACTTTTGGGTGGCTATCATTACAGACGAGGGTGGTCCTAGATCAGATTTTTGTGGTGTAAATGCTAATATCTTTTCTTAAACTGTTGCAGCACCCTGGGTCTCTGAGGTAGTAGGAACATAAATATCCATACCAGTGTTGAATAAACAGTGAAGGAACGCCTCTACTCCTCATGCAAGATTTAATCCTGAGAATTTAAGGAGTCTCAAGAGCCAACTCGGCTTTGTGCTGCTAGCCCAAATCTTCATCAAGAGACTATCCACACACAGGACGTGGCATTCTTACCACATCCTGTATGTGAAAGTCATCAAGGGATCAGTGGGTATCTGGCAGTTTACTGTTCCAGTAGCATAAGTTGTATGCAAGAAAATCAACTCAGTTCTGGCCCTTATGGCCTCATGGCCCAAGTACAGCACAGACAGCATGGTTCCAGACCATTTTAGTGCTTTCCTCTCAGGAGAAAAAGATAACTACTTTGACCCTAAAAGTCTCCTCAACTCTGAAAGAGCATCACTTACATAGACCCCACTTTAGAGAAAAGTAATACACCTTGGTACACTTTGTGTAGTTTCATTTCTTCATCCATTAAGCAGTCCTTAATGGACGTGTCTTGCCCCAGGACACATATGCCATCTGCAGGGGCTCCAGGCCCTCTTCTCAGCACATCCCAGAGCAGCCTGCCCTTTCAGAGAGTAAGCTTGTGCCAGGCTAAGCCCTTTGCGGGGGACAGGCAGGGTGTAACAGTCACTAACCCATATTAAAATGGTCTTGGGTCATACTCTCAAGCCAATAGTGTGATATGCCAAGACCTACACAAGGTTTCCATTTGGTGTCAACAATGCCCTTGACCTAGAAGACCTAGAAAACACAGAAGAGTTGGGACATGTCCACCCATATTTAGAACAGGCTTGATTGAATTTCTTGTGATGCGTTAATAGTACTTACATGTCCTACAAACATATTAGTCTGAACACAGTAACAGAAATTCTAACCTCAGTATAATCGTGAGGCAATATGTACTTGGCACCTTGGTGCTAAGCCCTGTTTAAAGTAAGATCTTGAACTTTCCAAAAACCGGGAGAAATGCTGTTGCTTTCACAACTAGAGATCTTCCATGTGAATAACATAAGATCACTCACATGGGGAGTGAACTCAAGGGTGAGTAACAGTGAAAAGGAGAGAATATTTTGCTCATTTTTGTATAGTTTTGGCATCGTTTTTAAATTTAAAGTAAATACGCTTTCCGTCTTTTTTGTTGTTCAAGATTTACATCAACACCAAATACAATCCATTATCATTAACAGGTCAGTTTAATGTAAGCCTAGATTTAGCCAAGATGAACAATCCCAATTAAACATTCCAATAGCTCGACAGTAAGATCTGAGGGGTACAGTGGAGTCAGATGAAACCGGCTTATGGCATTTAAGACGAAGCTGGCCATTGACTAAGTGAAATCCAGGAACGTGATCATGCGAACTCTCATTGCGCAGGCCTTTCTGACAGCCATTGGTGACAAGAACCGCAGGGCCGTGCTTGCCCTGGAGCACATGTTTGCGCCTGTTCTTGACGGTGCTGTTTCCACTCTCTTGGGAGTGCTGATGCTTGCAGGATCTGAATTTGATTTCATTGTCAGGTAAGCCTTGTTTTCTAATGTGTTCTCTGTAACTTATTTCCTTTTGTCTCTGGGCGATTACAGCTTGTCTTCATTGTGACTCTTACTTCCTGCTGTGCCTGCCCCCACCACAGCTTTACTGAGGTATAATTGACAAACAGTGTATATATTTAAGGGGTGCAACATGGTGTTTTGATATACATATATATTGTAAAGTGGTTGTCACAATCTGTGACTCCACTTTCTTTGAGTTTATTATCTCCAAGGTGGCACAGTGGTAAAGAATCCACCTGCCAATGCAGAAGCCGCAAGAGACTTGGGTTTGATCCCTGGGTCGGGAAGATCCCCGGGAGTAGGAAATGGCAACCCACTCCAGTATTCCTTGCTTGGAAAATTCCATGGGCAGAGGAGTCTGGCAGGCTGTAGTCTGTGGGGCTGCAAAGAGTCGGACACGAATGAGCACACGTGCACATGCTGAGAGGCATAAGAACAGGCTGTCTTCTAGAGCTGTTTGGAGGAATATCCTGGGGACAAAAGATGGAAGGTTTGGGGCTAGAAACAAAGGCAGCTCTACAGCTTGACACCACATCCTAGCTATTGGTATTAAGGTTAGAAATATCAGCAGAAGGAAATGACCTGGTTCCCTTTGACTGACTAAATTTGACCTTCCATTGTCCTTCAAAACTGTAGAAAGGAAAACAAGCAGATACCTAAATTTTCAGAAATTTTATTCTTTTAAGAAGTGAAGACGGCATACCTTGATTTCATGTTCAAGTTCCCACTAAGATTTAAGAAGCATTTACTGTGTGACTTTGGTGTCAAATTTTTAAAATCCAAGCCTCATTTGGATACATCTTTCTATTTGGATTTCATGGCAAGCAGTTTCTGGTGAATTTATTTAAGGACTTAACTTTGTGAAGTATAAAAGGAGAGCAAGTTTTCCTTTTGAAAAGAATTTGAGAACTACAGGGAGAGACCATTTTCTTCTCTGAAGAGCCTCCACAGCTTTTTTAAACAGCTGCTCTTGGATGTAACCCTGCTGCTTTGTGGAGGGTCGAGGCTAGAGTCATCAATAAGTAAAAGATAGTCCAGAATTAGGACCATAGTAAAGCAGAATGAAATGTGAGTAATGACTGGATTGTTAGGGACACTTTGGTAATCTAGGGAGAGAATCTAAACCGGCTTTCCTGGTGTGTATGTTGTAATAGGACTTTAAATTCCAAGTGAAAAAAAGAGGATTTTAAGGATTTTAAATTGTAGCCAAAGTTTCTTTATTATGAAAGACGATAGGTCCTTGGCATCATTTTGGAGATTTAGCCTTCCTAGAATGAGTGCCAGGGTTGGCTCACTGTCGTTTGGGTGGAGAGTGAGTGGAGAGGTGTAGAGCAGTACTTCTCAAACTATAATGTGCTCATGAATCATCAGGGCTCTCTGTAAATGCAGATCAGACTTCATCCGGGGTGGGGGGCGGAGTCTTGAGTTATTAGCCAGCTCCCAGATGATGGTCCTGTTGCTGATTCTCAGCACAGAGGACTGATCCATTAGCAAGCCAATTAGTATACCTCGTTGACCAGTATCAGGTAGATATATATGCCTAAACTAGAAGAAGGTTTTGGTCTGGGTTTTGTTTTGAGCTCTTAATTTGATGTTGACTTATCCTTTATCTGAGCATTAGTAGCTGTTTCTCTATGATGTACAAACACTACCTCAAAGAGAGACTCTTTTGTGTAATTTCTCATTCAACACAGTATGGTGAACACCTCGTAAGTGCCATTTCTCACAACAGCGCAGTGGTAACATTGTCCTTGTCCCCCTCTACATAGCCGTGGTTTATGGGGGGGAGAGACAAGGTCACAAGCAATTCAAAACCATGGGAAACAGAGTGTGATGGGATCTCAGAGGGTCTAACTCAGCCTTGGGGGGGATGCCAAGGGAGCAACAGAGAAGAAACTTAGCCTGAATTAGAGCAACCATCTGGGACCTGGGTGGAGGGAAGGATCCCAACTCTCTCATCTAACCCATGGCTTCTTGTTCTCTCCCAGAGATAGCAGGGTTCTTGTTTCAAGCACTTAAAAGGGCTTCCCATTTTCTAGAACTGGAAGGATTAACCTGATAAAGCCCTCACTGAGGTCGACTAAATGAGCAGACATTGTATACACTAAGCCGTCAGAAATCTAATTGGTCTGTTTATTCTACCATTAGATGGATGGGATGCAAATGTCTTAATGCCTGCTGCTGATATATGCCTCAACCTAAAGTTCCAGCAGTTTACATTAGTGCAAGACATCGGCTGCTTGGTTTTACTAATGCAGCTCAGAAGTTTCTAGTGTTTACAATAGCTGCGAGGTATTTGTATTTTTATAGAGATTCTCTCTCCTTTCATCTGAGGGCAAAACATATATAGGCACAGCGAAGTTTGGAGCCTGTTCTGTTTTATGATCAAGAGGACCATTAACATATAGATATCTTGCCCTCCCTCTTCCCAGAACATCCTGAGCTCTCCCCCACCCCAGCCCCCTTCCAGCAAAATTGCCCTAGAAACTGATAGTTACAGAAACGCATGCCTGTGTGTAGCCTTCTGCCTCCAGCTGTGTGGAACATCCGCCAGCCACCCTCCCTGGCTGACAGGTTCACCTTGGTATTCGTGAAGGATCCCAGACCTTAGCCCTCAATGGTGGGAAAGCAGGGCCACTTGTGCACTCTCCTCTTCTTCATGGTGCTGCAGCCTTTATGTCTGAATTGGCTGACGCAAAACAAGAGTATTCAGAGATGCTAAATTGTTCAACAAAAGATTGGCCAGCAGAGCAACCCGTCATTGTGGACCGCCCTCCCCCGAAAATGCCCCAGCAACCACAGAATGGGCAGTGTTTTCTTTGCGGAAAGCTGGTTCCAGTGTTCTAAAAAGGTCGCAGTTGGAGCTATTTGGTAAAACTGGAACTCACAGAATTCTAGGCAGAAAGTTGTGGTTAATGAAAGCCCAGGGAAAGCCTTACCTGATACACTGGAGACTTAATTAGAGATTCTGCTCTAAGATGCAGAAGCATTTCACAGTGGATTAGCTGCCTGCAGAAGTGGGCCGCTTTTCCTCCTGGGCTAAATTGTTTAAATTCTACACCCTTCACTTCATTTGTTTGCTTCTGCTGGGTTTTCGTGAACCGGGCCCCACTGCATTGTGTTTGTGCTTTCAGTCTGCTCCGCCATTCAGTCCCCATTCCATATTTTTGTGTTTGTGTAACACATTCATAAATAACATCACATGCCATGAGATTTCAGCAAATTAACAACCTAATTTTTTTTTCTTTCCCTCCCTTCATGAACTAACACTTTGGGTTGCGGAATGCAGTCCTCAAAGTCAGAAGGTTAAAAGAAAAACGAAAGTAATCCTGTGCAGGGTTTGAACTGAAGTTTTGTAACAGCCTTTTCACTGGTGTGGGTTTTGTTCATTTTTGGCTCTGACATTCGGACACTTGAAGGGTACCTTAATTCACTTTTGCCATGGTAAATGTTCCTGTTTTCCCTTTTATCTTTAAGGTACTTCTTTGCTGTCCTGGCAATCCTAACAATCCTGGGTGTTCTCAATGGACTAGTTTTGCTGCCAGTCCTTTTGTCCTTCTTCGGACCGTATCCTGAGGTCAGTAATCGTTGCTGGCGTCATGTGCAGCCCACAGGCCATCTATATGCTGTTTTTCCTGGTGTCAGTCTTGATTTAGATATTTAGGTTTATCCCCATTTTCTAGTTGTTTACTTTTTCAGTAAACAACTCAATAACTATAGCTTTTTTTTCTCTTAAGTTTATTAGTGTTGGAGGATGTTGTGTTGGTTTGGTTTGGTTTAGGTTGCTTTTATTTTGGTTTTTTGAAACCTGGTGATTGGCAACCTAAGTGTTACAGGTCTCTATCAATGAAGCATTTTCCACTCAAGATGAATATCTGGGTTTGAACAGGAGTGAAAAGGGCACAGCCTGCCTTTCCAGTGTGTGAAAGCGGAGGGCAGTCCTTTTGCTCCAGCTGTCAGGCCCAAGGGTCCTCGAAGTGGCAAGGATCGGGCTAAGTGAATGCAGAGTAGTGTGGGAGGCCAGGAGGGGAGTGAGGGAGGGCAGCGACCCCTGAACAGTACTGTGCTTTGAACCTTGAGTGTAGCCACCAGGTAAATGGATGATAACACCTGACATATGGAATCCCCTTGAATAGGTGTCTCCAGCCAATGGGCTGAACCGGCTGCCCACACCTTCTCCTGAGCCACCCCCCAGCGTGGTCCGGTTTGCTGTGCCCGCCGGTCACACAAACAACGGCTCTGATTCCTCTGACTCGGAGTACAGCTCTCAGACGACAGTGTCGGGCATCAGTGAGGAGCTGCGGCACTACGAGGCCCAGCAGGGTGTTGGGGGCCCTGCCCACCAAGTGATTGTGGAAGCCACAGAAAACCCTGTCTTCGCCCGCTCCACTGTAAGTCATAAGTCACCCCAGGAGGCAGCCCCTGCCTGCTCTGAACAGCAAAGCACAGGATGCAAAAAAAAAGTATAGGTTAGGTAGAATCATACTATAAAAATGTCAGTTTCATATGGTTGTATCTCATACAGATTGAAAAGGGCAGGGGCCAGTATTGGAGACTACACAAAACATCCACGGCATGTATCTTATTTAACAACCAGAGGTAAAGCATGCCTTGCTTCCCTACCCACCCTCCCACCCTTATTTTAAAGCTGCGTACATTGTAGGATGATACTTATTTTAAAATATAATGGTATTTTTATTGCCAGCAGAAGTTATTTTTTTCCCTTCCACCTCTGTTACCTTTAATTGCCCTTAGGATAAAAATACTTCAATCACTATTGTCTGAGACTTCACCAGAAGCTTCTATTGGCTCCAAGCTCCCATTCTAGGTGGCTGGAAGAGCGGAGAAGCTGAGAACCAGCCTTCAGTAATTCAGGAAAACCATGAGCAGCCCAGGAACCTCTTCTCAGAGGCTCTGAGAGCCCCGGCCACATTCTCCCCTCTCTGTGCTCCTTAGGATGTTCTCAGCCCCCCAGGCCTGGAGCACAGCATACAAAACCCAAGGAAGGTTCTAAGGCTAATGTTGCTCCAACTGGGGGCCTCCTGCTGTCCCTCCAGGAAATGGGTATTCCAGTCTCAGGCCGGCGCTGCCCTTCCATGAAAGAGAGAGGGGCCAACCAAATAACCTGAATTTTCCTCCTCTTACCCCCCGTGACGACGCCTGCTGAGCTGCAGTGTGAATCTGGTTTTGTTCAGCGGGAGCCTAAAAATAGGTACAAGCTGAACGACTTTGAAGTTGGTCACGGTCCTTTTGATTGATGTGGCCACTGTGTTGCTCCGTGCTTTGTATAGAGACCCAGAAACCAGATTCCTAACAACAGGACAGAGCAGTGCTGCCCCGTAGAACTTTCTATGACAATGCAAATGCGCTCTCTGCCTGCACTCTCCCGTGCAGCGGCCACTGCCCACATGTGGCTGTTGAGGACCTGAAATGTGGCTAGTGTGACTAAGGGGCTGAAATTTTAATTTTAGTTAACTTAAATGTAAATAGCCATATTCAACAGTGTGTAGGTATAGACAGTGCTGGCAATGTCCTGCATGTGGGTGAGCCAGGGCCAGGCACTTGGCAATTTTAGAAAAGGAACTCCAGATCTGACTCTACCCAGCAGGGCGGGGTGGCAGACTGTGGGAGGGAGGCAGCTGGATGCTTAGACCACAGCCCTGCATTTCTGAGCAGCAGCCCCGTGCATCCAGCCCGCTGTGCTGGAGAAAGCCTACACACAGGGTCCAAGTAGGGCGCTCCTCTGCCACGTTGTTGAGGTTCTAAGAGAATGGGTTTTCGTCTGTGGGTAGAAGGCCCTTGTTAGCTCCCCGGGGCACTCCCAGCCACTTGTGGGGTTGACTGAGCTCTAATTCAGAAAGAGCTGTGTGTGGGTGGCCAGGCAGGAGCCAGAGCCAAGAAAGAAGAGGGGGCTGGGACAGCAGGGGGTGGCGTCCAGCCTGGGGCTCGCCCTGGGCCTGTTTCAAACCTGCCTTGCCCTCTGCAGGTGGTCCATCCTGAACCGAGGCCCCATGCACCCGCAAATCCTCGACAGCAGCCCCACCTGGACTCAAGGACCCTGCCACCTGGACCGCCAGGACAGCAGCCCAGAAGAGAAACCCCCAGAGAATGCTTGAGGCCGCCTCCCTATAAACCGCGCAGAGACGCTTTCGAAATTTCTACTGAAGGGCATTCTGGCCCTAGCAATAGGGACCGCACGGGCCCCCGGGGAGCCCGTCCTCACAACCCTCGGCATCACAACCCAGCGTTCACTGCCATGGGCAGCTCCATGCCCAGCTACTGCCAGCCCATTACCACCGTGACGGCCTCGGCATCCGTGACTGTGGCCGTGCATCCTCCGCCCGCCCCCGGGCCTGGGCCCAGTCGGAACCCCCGAAGCGGGCTTTGCCCAGGCTACGAGGACTACCCCGAGACTGACCACGGGCTATTTGAGGATCCCCATGTGCCTTTTAATGTCCGGTGTGAGAGGAGGGAACCCAAGGTGGAGGTCATTGAGCTGCAGGACGTGGAATGTGAGGAGAGACGCCGGGGCAGCAGCTCCAACTGAGGTGGGCGGGGTCTGCGGGCAGGTGGGCGGGGCTCTTCAGTGGTCCCTCAGCTTCCGTGGAGACGTGGGTTTGATCACTGGGTGGGGAAGATCCCGTGGAATAGGAAATAGCAACCCACTGCTGTTTTCTTGCTTGGAAAATTCCATGAACAGAGGAGCCTGGTGGGCTACAGGCCGTGGGGTCCCAAAGTTGGACACAAGTGAGCACACATGCTCTCAGGGACTTAGAGGGATGCAGATAGAGCATCCTCCTGGGGCCCCTGGGCACTGATGTGTCACAAACAGTGACCTCTTAACCCGCAGGCAGGGTTTCCTGTTCAAGCTTAGTCATCCTTGGAGAACCAGTGGAATTCTAAATTGGGTCTATCCCTTATTGGGCTTCCCTGGTGGCTCAGAGGATAAAGCATCTGTCTGCAGTGCGGGAGACCTGGGTTCGAACCCCAGGTCGGGAAGGTCCCCTGGAGAAGGAAATGGCAACCCACTCCAGTACTCTTGCCTGAAAAATTCCACGGATGGAGGAGCCTGGTAGGCTACAGTCCATGGGATCAAAAAGAGTTGGACATGACTGAGCAACTCGCTTCTTACTTCACTTACTGTAAGCTTGTGGCGGGGGAGGGCGTTGGTGCTTCTCAACAAAGATATTGATAGCTGTCCCTTCACCTATTTTTCAGTCTTCTAATGCCATATAGCAGCTGTGTCTGATGAAGGCACATCACAAAGTGACCACATCCCTGTTCCTAGCCCCCAGATCAAAGAAGGGATCATAATCTGCCCCTGGAAGCCCCTCATGCCCTCACCCCAGCCCCCACCATCCTGATTTCTATACCTCAGACTCATTTTGCCTATGATTGTGCTTTATGAATATGGACTCATAGACCTGTTACTTTATCTGACTTCCTTTTTTCTTTTAAAGGGTGAGTAAAATCTGAAGCAAAGAGGCCAAAGATTGGAAGCCCCTCCCTACCCCTACCCCACCCCACCAGAACTGCTTGAAGAGGAACATGGAATTAGAAAGGTGTGCTGTGCCAGAGAGCAGTTCATCGTTACTGTAACCGATTGTATTATTTTGTGAAATATTTCTATAAATATTTAAGAGGTGTACACATATGTAATATACGAAGGAATGGATGTAAAGTAGTGTGATTTACTGGGGTTTCTCCACTCCTGCCTCCAGGGTGGGCAGTGGGGGGATCACAGAGGGGCCCCTCTCTGTGTGTACATTGGTCTCTGTGCCACAGCCAAGCTTAACTTAGTCTTAAATTTCAGCATATGTTGCTGCTGCTTAAATATTGTATAATTTACCTGTATAATTCTATGCAAATATTGCTTATGTAATAGGATTATTTTGTAAAGGTTTCTGTTTAAAATATTTTAAATTTTCATATCACAACCCTGTGGTAGTATGAAATGTTACTGTTAACTTCCAAACACGCTATGCGTGATAATTTTGTTGTTGTTTAATGAGCAGATATGAAGAAAGCACGTTAACCCCGGTGGCTTCTCTAGGTGTAGTTGGGTGCGATTCTCCTGTTTGGCTGTGTGTGTGAACACGTGTGTGATTTCCTAATGTACTGTACTGTGATTTTTTTTTTTTTTTTTTTTTGGTTTCTTTTTACTGTCTGTAACCTTTGGTGGGCTCTACCTTAGGCCGAAGAGTCAGGATATTTCTAGTGCTAGTGGTGGTGGAGGGCTAGCCCTATACATCGCCTTATCCTTTTGCCAGATTCGCTTCAAGTTCAGGGCATCTCTTAAGATCATTGGCTGCCATCCAGACACCCCAACTCATGCTTCAGAGGAGATGAGTTCCTTTGCATGGACCATTGTGGTGTATGTTGGAACCTCAGGGTACAGAGCTCACACCTCTTCATCTTCATTGGTATTAAAACCTAGAAAACATGCCTAGTGGGGAGCCTCAGCTGGGCTGTGAGCATATCCTTTAAATATGCAGCCTTCATTATACCTCTCTTGTAACCAACACATAGCACACACATCCACAGCACACATACACACACACACCACCACCACCACCACCACCCAAGTTTAAGAGTGGATTAGAAGTCTTTTGGAGACAATGACCTCTTAATTCTGGGTCTACAATTAGCCCAGAGGTGATGTTTTAAGTCCCTACAATTTAAACTCCCTCTCTTGCTAAATTGCACAGTTGGTTGGGGCTTTCTGGATTTGTTTGCATCCTCTTTATATAGTGAGCATCCAATGTGGTGATATGGAGTCAGAAATTCTATAGGATATGAGCTTCAGAACGATGGTTCTCCACATGTTAATACTAACATTATAGGTGCACGCTTCCTAAAGCAACTCATCTCCCTCCTCTCACCATCATTAGTACATTTATTGCAGACTAGGAAGATGCTAATTGCATACCACCCTCCCCTACCCTCCCCCCCCCCAATGAAGAATGTATATAGAGACATGTCTCTCAACCAGGCATTATTTTTAAAGATTTGCTTCCATATCAATTCTGTTGCCTTACTCTGAGGTTTGGTCTTCCTAGGCTCTTAGCCAGAGACCAGCAAGTGTTAGGAAGCACTTGGTACCCAGACTAAGCTACTGTGAGAGTGCACAAATGGCAACCCCCATTATGCCTCCTGTTTCACATGGAAAATGTCCATCGAAAGGCAACAGCCCCCAGTAGCACCAGCAGTGTAGTGACCTCAGACTCAAACACGCCACAAGACTGTGGCTGCCAGCTGTATGTGTTAATATGCCCGGGGCTCCAGTGGCCCCACCCACCGCTACTGTTTGGTGCCTCTGTCAGCTACACTGTCTGTCTACCTAACACTAGACTCTGCTCAGAAAACATATATCCTGCGTTCAGGAGAGAGATGATGCAGAATTCAGAGGTCTGCTTCCCTCTGGCTCGAGGCATGCCTCGCTCCTTTCCTGAGCCCAGCTTGTGTGGTGCGTGACTGCTTGCCTGGCCCCTGCTTTCTGCACAGCATAGAACTTTCTCCGATAGTCACATTGGCAAAGGGAGACCTCGGGGGCTGGCAAGCAACCAGAATTTCTCTCTCTCTTTTATAAAATAGTTTTATTTTGTCTGTCTTGTTTGTTCATTTGGATGTTTTAATTTTTTTTTAAATCTTTGCTGATATTTATAATTTTGTATCATAAGAATGTTTTCCTACAGTATTTGTCATGCCAGTTTATAACAGAAAAATGCAGGGATTTTATTTCTATTGGAAACACTATTACAGCTATGTTTTACTTTGGAACAGAATTTTTATTTGTATAGAGTGCTTACTAATGTTAAATAGTTCAGAGTATATAACATTTTCATTAAGGACTCATGGTAGGTTTTAGTGTAAGGAGTTTAAAGGAAATATTCAAACTGGGTCTCATTGTCTGCCAGTTTTGGCAGGAATGGATTTGTGTCATTTCAATTACAAAGATAAAAGTATGCCATATAATTTATTTATATGAAAATTTATTTTTGTAGTGTACATAGTAGTCATCAAGTCTTTTGACAGAAGTATATTTTTAAAGAATTTATATGTGATGAATCCATAATGTCTGGAACTTTGCTGAGACATGAATGGGGCACACTTTTCATTGTAAAGTACAGCAAGGAAAAGAAAATGTCTTAACAGTGTTAAGAGAGTGAGATTGAGTGAATATTCATGCAGTTGTGGAATGTGTATTAGTTACAATTTGTGACCTAGTGTGGTTCTCATTTTAAACCTCGGAAGGCAAAAATGTACAAACTCTCTAAATATTAATGTTCAAACACTGATAGAAATTCTAACATGAATAAAAAATAATATAACTTGTTGGTTATGTCTTTGTTTATGGAATGTTTTTTAATTAGAATATCTTACAAAGGTAGTTAGCATGTCAGGTCATTGTAAACTTCGTTGTTTTTGTCTGACTAACCTTATTAAATACTCATTTTTTGTTCTTCATGGAGGAATTATTGACATAGGAAGAGTTCTACATTTTTATTTTCTATCACCAGGAAAGCTTCTAAATTACCCTTCAAAATGATCCCTACTGTTATCTCTTAGCCTTTTTTAAATTTTGTGTGTGTGTATATGTGTGATGCCTAATAATTAGAGGGAATATTTATAAATCCAATTTAGTGATTATTAAAGGAAGGTATCATATTTAAAAACAGTATAGCTGACAATATGGGACTGATTGAACATGATACAAAATATTTTTTCTGAGTATTTATCATATGATTATACCCTGTCTTCATCATGTTCTTGTTCATCGCTAAGTCGTGCCCAACTCTTTGCAACCCATTTTTCATCATAGGGCTGGAGAAAAGTAAGACTAGAAATAGCATCCTCATTTTACAGCTGAAAGCAGGGAGTGGTGGGAAGAACTCAAATTACTATCAGCAGGCTACAGCCTATGGGCCGCCTGTTTATATAAAGATTTATCATAAGACAGACACACCCACGCATGTAGAGATTGTCCACTGCCACTTACCAGCTACATCAGCAGAGTTGAATAGTTGCAGCACAGACCATATGGCCTGCTAAGCCTAAAATATTTACTAACTGGCCCTTAAGAAAACATTTGGTGACCTATCTTAAGGTTACCATAGCCCAGTGCTGCTCACATGGGGTGCCTGGATCAGCGGCACTCACATGCTTTGGAAGTTTACTAGAAAAGCAGATCTTCAGGGCCACCCCAGACCTACTGAGTCAGAATCTTGGGACTGAAGCCCAGGAATCTGTGCTTTCATAAGCTGTCCTGGTGGTTCTGATGCACCAGCAAAGGCGATCTCTAAATTCCTTCCAGCTGAATGTGGCCTTGGTTCTATAATTTGACTCGGGCTACATGGCCAATGCAGGCCAGATCTGGAAGCAACGTAGAGATCCTGACTCTGTGTGGTCTTTCCACAAAAACACATGTTCGTCTGTGGGAGAGTGGAGGCCTGTGAACACTGCATCTGTGCCTGAGAGTCAAGAGAGGAATGCCCTTTTCAGTGCTCTGCCACAGCCACGGGGCAGTGAAGGGTGTGGGCCGATAACCCAACAGGCCGGGGGAAGAGAGAGGTCCGTGCCAGGCCAGACCCTCTTCCACCCTTCCCACCGAAAGTCATCTGAAACTTCAGGGCCTCTGTGGCCTTATCTGTATATAAATGCATAGTATATAAATGCATCTGTATATAAATGCAAGTCCCTCATAGACTTCTGAAGGTTGAAAACAATGGTTGTGAAGAGGTCTGGACCAGAGGGGACAGGAAGAGTCAACTGAAAGAAACCACCTCTGGACCTCACACTGAGTTTGGTTCAATCACCACCTTTTGGCCTCCAAGGCAACATGGGCCCTCTCATGTATGAAACAGTGAGAGCATCTAGGGAAAGGTTTTCAGGTATACAGTAAACTGACCAAGGAATAAGATGTTTGAGTAATACAATGTCCTCTTTAATGGCTACTTTACCTGGGGGGGGGGGGGGAATCATAAAGTATTAAGTAGCGTTTTCTATCTTATATACTCTCATCTTCCTACCTCAGGGGTAAAGTTCATATAAAATGTTCGCTTGGTTCATTCACAAGTCATGGGGAATCTGTACTCCCTGAAACTGAATGTGTAAAAGACTAATTACATTAATTGGGATTCAAATTGAGAGACACTTTCTTTTCAATGTGTTTTTTAATACCACTAAAATGACCATTCACTGCCATCTAATTTTATATTCTTTATAAATTACATACACCTAAGTCAGCTAACTTAGTTTTTCATATAGGCCTAATATTTAATCAGATTTGTGTCCCCAAATCCACTGTATTTATTCAGGACTTAGGTAAACATAAGGCCCCATTTTTTTTGGCACAACGGACATATTTAACAGCTTCGGGAATGCTGCATGCTGCTAAATTTCGGGCAGCAGCCACGTTGATGTAAATGCAGGTGTTTCATTTTTGGTAACTGGCAACTGACCTCCCAAAAGGAGAAGTGGAGATGGCCTATTAATCATCCAAAAAGAATATTTGCCAAGTTTTAATTACTTTTAATGAAGGCTGCACCTAATGAGAACATGCCTTGAACACAAATCTGTTAAATTGTTCACATTGTCACTATGGAAGTCGTGTTTGACATCTTTTTCTGCAGAGGTTCCCTGCTAGGAAATTACAATAACTGCCATCATAAGGATCTTGAAAGGACATTCTGGTCTGTTGGGAACATGGTGGACCTCAGGAAAACAGAGGGCCCCAGGGAACTCTGCTACAAAAAGAAGTGACCAATAGAGATACCCCAAACTCAGCTTGATGTGGCCAAAGCGATAAATTCTACATGGCAGAGTGTTACCGTCATTGATTTATGCCTTCTCCTGAGGGGTTTCCTTTCTTTGGACAAAAGTAATGAGACCTTTCAGCCAAGATGCTGTGAAGGGAACCACATTGTAGAGGCAGCATTTGCCCTGAAAATGAGACACCCCAGCGAGCAGAATCAAGAGGAAGCAACCACAGCCACATCTTTCTCAAAGTCAGTTAAATCCCTTTACAGTCTTTTTTTCCCTGGAAAGCGTTCTCTTCATTCATCTTCCTATCCACAGGATTGACGGTATAGAAGTGTGATGTAAGCTACCAACAGGGCAAAAAACAAAGCCAAATAAGAGTTCACACTGAAGTAAGCCCATGAGATACCTCTGTCAACAGCACCATCTCTGTACACAGTGTACAACAGCTTGTATTTTGTGGGAAGAGGGGTAGTAGAAAAAAAAAAGAAAAGCTTTTTTTTAAGTAAAGAAAAAAAAAACATAGAGAAGAAAGAGAAATAGATGAGCAAGTTCTGACTGGTGAGTTGTTATATAATAATGAGGATTGCAGCATTTAGCCTGAGATGCCAAAAGAATAATCTTTCTAATTACAAAGTTCAATCAGCAGCACGGGTAGGTGGACTCCTGTTGAGAGTCTCCTTTGAGCAAGAGAAGGAGCAAGATGAGGCAGGAACAGAGAAAAGCAGGAGGCCCCCTGCTATGGGTTGAGAGAGAGTAGAGCTACCTCCATAATTAGAAGAGAGAGAAGAGGGACACACTCAGATGTCCAGAAAGTGAGGTCAATCCTATGGGAAAAACCATGAAAATAAGGGAGGGGTATGAAAAAGACTGGGTGGAAAAAATTGTCGAGAGATGTTCAGAACACCCATAGGCTACAAGAGCAGTTGCCAGACCTTAACACTCATCTTCTGACTGCTGCAGTGTTGATAAGCTCACTCGGCCCTTCTACCAGTGGATGCTTTATCTTTTCCTGTACAGATCCCATCTTCCATGGAATCATGACAGGTTATCATGAATCTTGGGAGTTGGCCATGAATCATGGATGACCAGGGCTTCCCCTGTGGCTCAGCGGTAAAGAATCCACCTGCGATGCAGGAGACTCAGGTTCAATCCCTGGGTGGGGAAGATCCCCTGGAAGAGGGCACAGCAACCACTCCAGAATTCTTGCCTGGAGAATCCCATGGACAGAGGAGCCCGGCAGGCTACAGTCCATCGGGTTACAAAGAGTTGGACACAGCTGAAGCAACTGAGCACACACGTAAGCACACACAGAAGACTAAACTATATGAGTCCACTGTCATCTTGTATCCGAGAAATCTGGAGACATCGTAACATGCCTAACACAAACCAGCGCCTTCAGCCGCCAAGTCAGATTTAGAACATCTAACCTTCTTCTCTCTTATTGCCTTCATTCCACCTGCATTTCTTTTATGTGGTAATTTCAAAGGGATGGATGACTGCTGTCCACACAACTGTAACAGCAGAGTTCTGGGCCTCTCGGGCACCATGGGCACATGCATGACCGTGCACACAAAATCTACATCTGCAATAAATGCAAGCAGCTGCAATTGGGGAAGCAATTAGCAAATCTTTGAATTATCGTTCTGATTTCACTTAAATTCCAAAAGCTAATTGGCTAAAATGTTCCTCCGCAATTAGAAGCAATTAATATG